AACACCCCCCTCAAGATCACAGTCTGAGCATTCATTGACATGAGAACCCCAGATTGTTTAATCTACCCTGATGATGGAGACCCTATTTTCATTCGAAACATTGATATACACCTTCGAAGCTACATGATTTCGTAACCTAGAACTCTAGAATATGAATCGTCACCTTGGTGAATATTTCATATCCCTGAGCGTCTCGTCTGAATTATCCACTGCCTTAGTCACTCAGCCAAGCAACAATCCCCCTCCCTTAATTAATATTTTATATATTTCCTCCCTTTTTTCGTTTGGTTTGTAAAGAATCCAGGGGAGGACGTGTCTAGTTTCCTCCCTTCGCTGGCGCCCAAGTTGTCACTATCGGAACTATATAGCTTCGATAATATGATGATTAATGAATATGAAACAATTGGCGGAATGAGAATTGGCAGGGGAAACCGAGGTAGTGGAAGAAAACCTGCCACAGTGTCACTTTGGGCAACCCCCCAAAAAACATGACGATCTGGTGTCGAACCCTGAACGCCGAAGTGGGAAGCCGGCTACTGAACGTCTCAGCTTTGGCACTGCTCGTCTCTGATCCCATCAACGCGTAACTTGTCTCGTTTTAAATTGCCGAGAATTAATTTTCACGTCGTTTGTTGGCGGCATCGTGATAATTAGATGTTTAAAGGAATGATGAATTGTTTCTTCTCTGAGAACATGAATCATCTAGCCCTGTAAAAGGCAGAGTTAGCGTGTCATCGGCTCGTAAGACTCACGCCGTAAGCGGGTGTGTTTTCAAACGAGCTGTTATAGTGAAACCCGGAGTTTATGACAGTAAAAAATATTTATTACCTTTAAAATATATATGTAACTAGACTGAAAGTTCTGTAATCAGTGAAATGAAATCGCCGACAGTGTCTAATTTTAATTAGGTCTAATAATAAGTATCGTTTAATTTATTCATTGGGAATCGAGATAGATCAGCCGGTATAGTGACAGCCTACAGGCTGGGCAGCGAGGTTCGATTCCCGGCAGGGACAAGAGTTTTCTCTTCTCCATAGAATTCCGATCGACTCTGGTGCCCACTCAACCTCCTGTGCAATGGGTACGACGGCCCTTTCCCCAGAGGTAAAACGGCCAGGGACTGAAGCTAGCCACTCACCTCCATCTAGTACCAAGGTCAAGAATGGTAGAGGTATACCTCCAATTCTCCATATGTCTTCATGGCATATTGCTTAATTAAGAGCAGAGACAACTTTGGGAAAGTATGGGAAAGCAAAAACGAAAATGTGGTACACATGTCTCGACGCTGGTAGTATAAACCCATAAGATAATGGGCTATTGTATAAGCACATTCGTAATGATGGTAGCATCATGGTACATACTCAGGGCTATTGACACTGAGTACCCAGAATTATTGACATTCCTCCAGAGACGCAATAATAATAATAATAATAATAATAATGACCACAATAATATTTGCAATTAGATTATCCAACTTCTCTAGAGCACTCAGTAGGTCCTAATAATGCATGGATCAATATCAATTTGTTCATTCGTTCCCAGATCGGCCGTTATGAACCTCGGGTACAGGGCGCTCACTTTGAAGCTGGAAAACGTTTTGTTTCATCTTACGCCTCAGAAATGTAGCAATGAGATGCTTATATCATAGTTGCACTTACTTCGGAATACGTGACAAACAAAAAAAAACTCCGTGGCTCGAGTCCGCATGCGAATTATACCGACCGAGCGACCGCCGCTCGTCGGCGAAGGTAGTGCCAACTTTAGTGGATAGAGGGTGTCACGTAGTCAGCGCAACGTATCTCCACTGCCGTTAATTTCAGTTTTCTAGACCAGAGCCGCTATTTTCTTAAAATAGCTCCTCTATTATCCTCACGAGGCTGAGTGGACCCCGTTCCAGACACACTGTTTCTCAGAAAATCTGGTAGCGTCGGGAACCGAACCCGGGCCTCTGGATCTGTAGCCAGGAACTCTGACCACTAGGTCAGAGAGGCGATCCGAAATACCTCACACTCTGGAAAACACGAGAATGGAACTATTAAGAAAGAAAAGTTGCCTTAAACCGGAAAATTGAAATTAAAAAACTTTAATGTGCTTTTCTCATAACTTCAGCAGGCCCATTTCCTCAATACGACATCTGTCTGAAATAACGGGCGATTTGCATATTCACGCCGCTTCAAGAAGTGTTTGAACTTTTGGCATTCTTTGCACATCCATGTTAACGAGGTATATCTTCACTAGTTCGATGAACATTTATCACGGAAGTAAAAAGTTTCAAAAGTGCTGGTGATGCTTTCCCATACAGAGTTATAAAAATGCGTGCTACAGACATCAATACATGTCCTTATGTTGGGAGAGAACCCCTAGCAGCCAAACTTTAAGTTTCTATAGAAGACGGTATTCTTTGAATTTAGGGATATTCCTTGGCGAGATGAATATATGACAAAAGTTTACAATTTTTTAGGTTTTCAAGGTGGCGATTGTTCAAATTCTCATCTTCTAGGTTACTGGCAGAAGAACGTTCCTCCAAAATGTCAGTATCCGTCTACAAAACTATAGAGTGCCACAACATAGAAGATCATTAATTCTGTAAGATGTTATGATGCATTGACGCTGATCATTGCAGGCCCTTACTTGAGTGGCATGATTTATTAAATTATTGACCACTTCATTTATATTTCCTTATTAATGCATTAAATTTAAAATTGTTATTAATTTTAATTTAATTTTACAGCTAATATGTGATATTCTTTCTGTTTTCTTTGACATATCATACTGTGTGTGTGTACATTTCTGAATTCTGGCAGCGCCAACAATTCTCCCAAGTTCTGATATGAGCAGTCATTAATTTTGGTTTTGATATGGTATGTAAGGGAGCTGGGATAGGTCAGTCGGTATAGCGACTGACTACGGGCTGGACGACCGAGGGTTCAGAATTCAAGTCCCGATAAGGTCTAGAATTTTCTCTCCTCCACGTTGTCCAGACCGGTTCTGAGATGTACCCAACCTCCTACCCAGTGGGTACTGGGGGCTCTTTCCCTTGGGGTTAAAGCGGCAGGGGCGTGAAGCTGACCACTCACCTCCAATTATTGCCAAGGTCAAGAAAATACATCTATACATCCACTCATGGCGTATAGGTTAATTAGTTAAATACAGGTAAAACTTTATCTTTACCTTTTGTGGCATGTATGAATGAATGTATAAGGGGTGGGCCTTCTTGGCCCTTGCACCGCGACCACAGTGATCTATTGTGCCTTTTTGTGGCATGTAAGGAATCTGTATTTGCTGTATGGGGTTGAATGGAATTGTCTGTAAATAACGGTCTATATGTCTTAGCATAGAGGGGCCCTAACAACGGAAATATATTTCGAAAGTATAGAGAAATAAAAAACATTCTGGACAATGAACGATTTTACTTGGTGCTTCTCTGTCCTGTCACATATGCATTACTTTCCCAAGTTGTCTCATCCCCGCGGTTTTCCTAATTAAAATTCTCAGTTAATTTCTCAGCCCTTTCATACATAATGTATACCTCTCTCCATCTCATCCTTTTTTACTTGTCCCTATAAAATTAATGTGCAAGTAGAGTAATGCGGAGTTCAAATTATGAATCTCTTCATTATGCAACTTTCTGTAGTCTCTGTCACGTTCTTTCTCTTAAACCAACTATCGTGTCCTAAGAAACCCACAGTCTATCCTCTTCCTTTGATATGAATGACCACATTAGACACCGACAGAAAAAATAAGTACCATTATTATTTTGTGAAGGTTAATCTTTACAAATTTAGATAGGAGTGAGGGAACTAAAACAGATCTGTATATAAGATTCCTCAAATGTGTCTTCTTTTAGTTCCTTCTTGAATGTAATTCTGATTGGTTACTTTTGTTCCTGGGGGCACGCGGTAGTGTAGTTGGTTGAGGTACTGTGCTACAAGCCGGAAGATCGCGGGTTCAAGGTCATTGGACTTTTTTCCAATTGACCTAATCCTACCAGGTGCACTAGGCCCTGGGGTTTACTCAGCCTCTAATAGAAATGAGTACCAGGAATTCATCAAATAATTTTTCTGGGGAGTAAAGCGCGGCGGGTGCCTAAGGCTGACAACTTTACCGCCATCTTTGAGCTGATTGTCTAGATAGTGTGGGAACCTCGGCAGCTCACAACCCTATGGGCCTTCACGGCCTGTTACAGGGATAGCTTTACTTTACTTACTTTTTACATTTGTTCTTAAATATTTTAGTCACCACATTTCTGAAAGATTTATCAGGTAAGATAGTTTATATACTACAATTATGTTCTGTATTCTGGTAGAAAAATATGGACATAAGTTTACATTTAATTTCCTCGGCATTTATTTATAGACCAACCCCTTTAATAGCATCTAACAGAGTTTATACCTTTCTTTATGGCTTGTATGTTTCTTAATATGGCTTCACATCGTCAGCACAAACGGAAATCTGGTGAGAAAATGTTGTCATTCTGTGCAATAGACAATGAGTAGAGGTATTTTAAATCACATTTCTGAGAGTATATTTGAGCCTGAGACTGTTCAGTAACTAGGATATTGAACGATTATGTAACTAGTAATTTCAGAATTTGACTATACTCTTCACCTGTCATTATTCCCTTGATTAAAGTACACGTTCTGAGACATGAAAACTTATGTCATGCTTGGGAGAAACAGAGGACCTGTTCGAAATTCTGGTTGGAATTCCTCCACAGAAGACCAGCATATAAATGGGATGTGAATCTTGAAGTTGGTGTTAGGGTAATACGTGTAGAAGGAATCGTCAAGTTTATTCTGTTTGGCAGATTTGTGCACATAATGCATATTCACAATGTGCATACCTCTTTTCAGAGCACAGATTTTGTGTTATCTGGTGGTAATTATAAAAGATTCTCAATAATTCAAGAAGAAAAGAGGTATATCATGTCCTTTAAGTTCATATTGCTCCTATGTAAGCTGCTGACTGCAACTCTTACTTCATATATATATTAATTACAGGTGCAAGGTGTGTGGAGCACAGGATACATTCCAACAGGAACAAGATTTGGACCTCTTGTTGGTGAAGTATATGCCAAGGATGCTGTGCCCAACACTGCCAACAGGAAGTATTTCTGGAGGGTATGTTCCATATGATACATCTTGCTAACACGCTGTAACAAATGCTATGTCCCAAACAAGGCTCCACCACTTCAGACAATATATGACATTCTAGTGAAATGGAATGATGATAACGTAAAGTGAGCTGGTAAAACCTGCAAAGAATATTGTCATGCCCCATTTTTACACACTGCCATAACACTTTCCTGTAGGAACAGGGACTTGACAGCTGTGTAGATTAGTTACTATGGTTGGAAATATATATTTATTAGTTATTTATAGAGAAATTCATAATATAATTTACATTAAAATGTTAAGTGTACCATTATTTATCTGTACCATTATTAACAAATAATGTAAAGATGCCTCATCATTGGCAGTAGGTGTGTTGAGAGTTCAGAAACACAGCACTAAGCTTTCTGATGCTACTTTCAGAAGGAAATTCGTAATTTGTGATACAGGAATGAGAGAAGAAGAAACTATACAGAAGGACACAAAATAGAAATAACTGTATTACACAGTAAGGGTGTGAAGACTTTGAAAGTGAATAGTGTTATGTAATTAGGAACTTTGTCTAAAAATTGGTAATTATAGATGAACATTTTCTTAAATGTTGATGGAACTTTGGCAAATTCATTTAAAATTGAGTGGTAAATAAATGTGATGTGAGTTAGTACCCTGATATGAAATTTATATTCAAGTCACTTATTGCATGGACTAAATTTATTTATTATCAGTTTATTTAATGATGCTGTCAGTAGCTCAGACTATATAGCATTGAATGATGGGATAATGTGTGAATGTTGAATTGGACAGGATGTGGAAGAAAGCCATCACTGCCTAATTTAAGATATTTTCCCAGCATTTGCCTGGATGAACTGAGGAAAACCATGAAAAACCTCAGTATATTGGTGTCTTGGCCGATATTTGATCCTGGAACCCAGCAGATACGAAGCAGCAGGGTTATCCAGTAAATTGTGAAATTCATTGGTACGAGCAAAGAATGCAGAATTTTGAACAAAGCTATATAGTCATTTAGTTATCATACCAGACCATGACATCCACATTTCTTTCATGAATTCATCAGTCAACATACTGGGATGTTTTCAAAGTAACTTTCATTTTACATCTTCCAGAATAAAATTATGTTTAGTTGCTGGTTGGCAATAATTAGCATATTGTGATTGAAATCTGTGCCAATGTCATAATACGAGTAATTCTGAACAGAAAGGAGAGTGAAAATATTTAAAAAATATGAACTGAGTGTTACTCAGTGTATGACTTTGTGTTCTCTGAAAATTCAGTTCTATAATCATCACAGTTTTAATTTATTACTTCTTCTCTTGTACATCAGAGTTTTCTATATTTGACTGCAGTTTGCGCCTTAAAATCCTATCAAAATTTATGTATATTTTACATTCAGTATAGTGTTGTTTCTGATATGGGATATTTCAGTTGTAACTTTCTTACCATAATACTTCTTAGTTCTGATATATCTGGATGATCTTAGCAAAAATTCACCTGTTTTGTTAATGCCTAACATGAAGTGATTGAATGATATTATTGAAGGTAAATTTATGAATTAAATATTATCAAGTTTATTTCCTTATGGGGCATGAAGTAGCATAGTTGGTTGAGACAATATGCTACAAGCCGTGAGGTCGCAGGTTAATTCCCAATGAAGTCACTGAATTTTTCAATTGACCTATTCCTTCCAGCCACACTATGGTGCTGGTGTTGACTCAGCCTCTAATAGAAATGAGTACCAGGAATCTTCCTGGTTGTAAATTGTGGCTGGTGTGTAAAGCTGACAACCTCACCACCATCTGTGAGCCAGTTGTCTAGAAAATGTGGAAGCCATGAAGTCTCACAATCCTATGTGCTTCCATGGCCTGTTACAGGGATAGCTTTACCTTTTTACAAGATGAAATAAAATCAATGTGACTTGACAGTTAGGTTAGGTATGTACAGATGGAATAATCTGAGGAGCTTAATTTTTTTAATGTTTGCACAATGAAAACAATTTTGAATTGCTGAAGTTAGTTATCCATGTCCTGCCTATAGTCAAGATAAATCAATTACAGAATGCCCCTCCCCCCCTTTTGGGGGGGCGGGGGGCGGGTGGTTGTAGCCCAGGGAGGCTGACTGTTGTTGACATCCAGATAATCTGAGCAGTAGCCAGATTTTGAAATTTGGCTATAACATATACACTACTTGTAAGATTGGTGTTGGTTTCAGACAATTTCAAAGTAAATATAGCAATATTGTCTGACTAAAAATAAAATTAACACAGCTGTCATAAACTGAAGTCCTTAGAACTTTACATTTTTTATCTCATGTAAAAATTTGTGACCCTCATCTTTAGTTGCTGTATGTTTTATCTTTAACCCACTGCCTTCTATGGATACAAAATTTTTGTACGAGTAGCTCAAATGGTTAGACACCAGCTTCTAACTATGGAGGCCTGATTTCAATATCAGGACTCTCTGTATTAAATTTTTAATGGAGAAAATATTGTAACATGTTGCGCAACGTAGAACCCCTCCCTACCCAACTGCAACGTGGCAACTCAGGCCACAGTCACAGATTTTTTCTCCAAATATTTTGGGTTTCCTCTGCTAGCCTCCCATAACTGCTGAGTGCTGAGGTTCCATGTCCATTCACTCCCACCTCTGAACATGTTTATCATGACCTCAGCTGTTAGGTAAGAATTCTGCCTCTGGCGTGATAGTTCAATGGACTTAACAGTACATAAATCTGCTTTATTGGTACTGATGAATTACGTATTATAGATGACTCTCTTGAAATAAAGAAGGAATTGGCATTCAGATGATAAAGAAAATAAAACAAGACAGCTCATTACACTTTCATAGAAGAAACAATGAAGTAATCTTTGAATTTATTAGTACACTGCCATTGTGTGAAACATAAAGATGCTGCGCACAAACGTGAAATGGAACTCCTAAACATGCCCTGAAATATCTCCCCATTTCAGATTCAAGACAAAATATTTTGGGGGGCAGGATAACGAATACACAGTAAGATCCAGAGTGGTGAAGTTAACGGTTTAATTGGTTAGTTGGAGAAGGGAACACATCCAGTGGCTGACATGGACATGTTCTCTTTTGTAACTAATCAATTTTATATAGTTTCTGTACATAATTTACATAATGGCTTTATTGTAATATAGTCTATTTTGGATCTAAGATCTCTTGTTTATCTAGCATACTTTAAATTCTTGCCAAACTGTGTAACTTAGTTCCATAATTTCTTATTTTAATTCTTTAATGCAGTGAAACTTGTCATATTGGTCATATGCATGTGTTGATTGGGGTAATACATCACAAATTTTATAAATCTGTTTTCTTTTTTTGAGTGAAATTCAAATTTCATGACTTGCTCATTTTCCAATAATTTTATCGTGCATCTGTGTAATGTGTTTAAGAATTTTATTAAATCACAGTTTAGTAATTCTCAGAGGTTTTGTACCCTCTCTTATATCACACTAAGATGCATAAAACTTCTGTATTATTATCACTGAAGGCAAGGGAGAAAGGAACGCAACACAATAGGCATTTCTATGATACAAAGAATAAAGGATTTCTGTATGGAGCACTTTCCTGCTTCTAATCTTTAGCATCTCATTAATCATAATTTGTTCATATTTCTGTCCCATGCTCAAGTCGGTATACAGACTGAGCTATCAGGCAAGTAGTCTACATCAGGGATTTGATACACAGCAGCAGCTACATGTAGCTTCCAGTGATCACTTGGCACTAAGTCACATGTAGCATATCTGAAAATTTAGGCTATTTTACCTTCCTCCCCATTTTTAATTGATCATATTTCTGTAAAATTATGGGTGACCAATGTGAACTAGTTTCACTGTTATAATATTGACTTGTGGTGTTTTTGGGTTTCACTTCTTACATGTTCATGTCTTCTGTCTTGTTTTCATGTCATCTTCTAACATGTACAATCAGGTGCAAATTAAAGAAGAACCAAGACATTGGCCAAAGGTACTTATACTGATTTCTACTTTGCAAATTATAGTTTTTATTTTTAACTGTCATGTAATATTTTAATACTTTGATTTGATATTCTTATTTGTAGAATTAATATGGAAACCAAGGGTCGTTAGTTTTCGGTGCTTCATACTAGAGTTGTGAATATGCAGCCCATGATGAGTCTGAGTGAACTCAGTGAGAGATGTACCTTAATGATCAATATAATTACTGTCTTATATTAACTGGTGATCAGTTAATGAATTGCCACATAACTTAAACATTTCTCATCTCTTTTATTGAAAGCTGTTCTTGTAGGTTATTGTGAAGCAAATATGTGCCTTGAATGTAAGTGGGAAGTCGTTCAGTTGTACAAGAACTGTTTCTTTACTGTTCAATTTTCCAAGTTATTTGCAACTTTTCAAATACCAAAGTCCAAACTATCATAACATTTTGTGTTAGTTTTTATAGGGAAGATATATATATTTAATGTTCAGTACCATACTACAGGTATATCTACTTAAGCTTTATATCAAGGAGGTCTAACAATCAAATCTCAGTCTGAAATTAGCTATCATTGCTGCGTTTTTCATGGTTCTCCTCAGTCTATCCAGACAATTACCAGGATAAGGCCATAACCACTTCCATCTACACCCTTTCCAGGTCATTGTTCACTAATATCCTATTATCTAATGCTATATAATCTGAGCTATTGAAAACATTTTTACAGAAACAAAAATAAATAAAAATTGGTATATTTTGATTGATGTACCTTTGTACAGGCATGATTTTCATAGCTAGGAACATCCCTATTTGTGCATTCCATTGCCACATATGTGCAGCTGGTTTTTGCAACTTAGTTTGCTTATTTTTGAGGCTGGACTCTTGATATTCCCTTGGGAGGTTTGCAAGAAAATATGGATCAGCATGGGGCACATAACTTGGTGTAAATGCTCAGTGATTTCTGCATCTTATATTGTTTGTTCTTTTGATACATAGATTTAAATGACATGGACTTATAAGTAGAGCTCCGTTAACCTTAGAAATAATAGTTGATCAAGAATAAGAGGAAACCACTGTTAATGACCTTACTCCATCCACTTCCATAGACCTTTGAGTCCATAATTTAAGCCCATGTAATATTCTATTACCAAAAAAGGAATTGCAGTCAATGAGTTTACTGTTGAAATATATCCTCTTGAGAATGTACTTTCCAGAATGCAACTCTTGTGTAAATCAGTATACCTGTGCAAGAAGTAGGCTAGAAATTTCAAAATACATCAAATGGTTCAAAATAATTCAAATTTTGATATAATATTTTCATAATTACTATATAACAAGAGATATCTTGTGTTAATTCCATAAAGATATTTCATGTATAAAAATGGATCATTCAGTTTGGTATCTTTAAAATTATTAGCACAACTGAATGTGCACACTTGAACAGCATCATCAGTCTGGCCATCAGAATATTAATAATTATTAAAAGCCATTTGCTCTTAATATGTTTAATTTTATGATTTAAAGGGATAAATGAGTAGAAAGTATGTTTCGCAAAGAATAATGCTTTGTTATTCCTCTGAGAAATAATAAGTAATATTATTCCCAGACTTCTGCATTAAATCATTCAGGAGATAAGAAATATAATGAGTTAAAATTGTGTCATATACACAAAATATCCAGGTTTCTCCATAATGATCTCAAAACTATGTAATTTTTTTAAACTTTTTTTTTAATCATTCAGAAATAAAGGACATAATGACATATCTTAACAAAAACAGGCAGAATGTTTTTGAGGATTTTATAGATTTCTTTCTTCTAATAAGATTCACAAGCAAAGTTTCATACATAACGTTCAGATCAGGGGTACCTGTTGCCATACAAACAAAACTTCACATTTGTAGGTAGACACATCAATCATAACAAGTTGAAATGTTAATATGAATTTTTACAGTTACCTTTTTTTTTTTTAGTTTTTGCCGGTATACCATATAAAAGAGCTTAACAAATTTTCATATTTTTTTGGAAATCTAATTTACTAGATCCCTGTGTGCACAGTGTTAGTATTACTCTTACATCTTCATTCTTGTTTTAATTTCTTCTCGTTAGAAATATCAATGTGAGTGCTTTTTCAACTTCTTCAGTAGGCATAAAGGTTTTTATGGTTGTAGCTATATGAATGTTTAATTTGTAATGAAGCGATCTGTATAATATCTGAAATTGTGACTATGCAATACTTACATTTGCTGTTCAATTTTTATGATGGTGAAAAAAATATATTGTAGCTAGACATTGAAATTTAGTATGGTTAGAAGTTAAGAAGATGTATGGAATTTGATAATGTGGCTGTAAAAATAGCAACATAGTGGCACACTGCTGAATGTGAAGAGAACAAATTTTGACCACAATACCTTACTTTATTAAGTAATATTATCATCCATATCTGTTCTTGTGCTTGAACTCATAACTTAACTAGTGTGAGAGAAGTATTTATCAATATGGACTTAAAATTGTATTACTACTCTCAATGAACTATTCTTCAAATTCACATCAAAATTAGATTAATCATAGACATACAAGTATATTAAAATCAATTTTCTTTTGCACCTGCAATTCAAGTAACTATGATAAGTACATGTGAAAGCTTAATGAAAGATTTCTTTTAACCTCGGTGAAATTTATGTTTCTATTTAATGGTCATTATCATTGCTATTGATCTTGGTTTCCAAGTTTGTGGGTTCTTGTATTCTGTGACAGGGATGTTTCTTGGTGGTGGTGTTTTGAACATATTCTATATCTAGTGGTTTATGTGCCTTGAAAATAATCTTGTGCTTTCAAGGTATAGAAAGAGATAACAATAATAACTATAAATTTGGGCTCATCTTATTGAAATTAACAGTAGCATTGGTGATTAAAATGCTCTTATTATCAAATCATTATGTGTTTATGTTACCTTGGCCAATAATTGAACAAAACTTTTCATTTACCAATATTTGAAAGGCTACCATAGCCAAATCTTAGTGAAATGACAGTGATCTTCACTCTAAGGACTCTGAAATGAGAACAGAGGTTAAGGCACCAGAGGCTTCCATAACTGGCTCTTCCTATGGTGAGCAGCTCCCAAATATAAAAACTCATTTTGATGAAAATTTTACTTCATTACAAAAGTAAGTTCTTGGATTCAAACTCTGCCCAAGGTGATGGAAAAACTTGAATTAAATAAATGGTGGTGTGTATATATTTTACTATGAGTTTTCCTGAATGCACCAATGGCTTTCCTGTCTCATGTCAAGCTGCATCAAATCTTACAAAATATATGACATAAATTTCAGTTATTATTATTACATTGTCAGCATATGTCTTCTTGGTTTCACAGGTTTACAAAGACAACGAACTTTTCTATTACATGGATGGTTATGATACCAGTAAGTCCAACTGGATGCGTTATGTCAACCCAGCCTATTCTTCAGCATCACAGAATCTTATAGCATGCCAGTATAAGGTATGTGCAATGAACCTTAGTGTATTTCATAATTTATAATTTATTTATATCCATAAACTGTTACACAAGTACAATTGGACAAGTCGGTTTAAACCATCTAAACCACTACAAATCAATAACTCCAAAAAATGTACAAAATGGTACACAAGATTAAGAGCAATACACTCATCTTAGGATCATCATCCCCTCGCTGAAGCTAGCAACCATGGATGACAACCCCTAGCAATCCAACATAAAGCAATGCATACACTTATACCACCTATATACATTGATGCCACATCAGAACCAACCCGAGCCACCAAACTACTGTCCATCATTGTTACCAAAAACGTCCTGCAGAGAATAAAAACAGTTTTGTAGTAGATAACTCCTTAATTCATTTTTAAAAACTTTAGAAATATATAATCTTTTTAATTCAGGGACAAGCTGTTATGTATTTTAATTCCCATATTAATCACACTTATTTTGCAGTTAACAGTGTTGCATTTTGTACATACATATCCTGTTTTCCTTTAGTGTTGTACTTGTGAATGTCAGAAAATTGAGTTGCGTAGATCTTGTTCTTTTTAAAAAGCATAAGATCTTACATATATAAAGAAGTTACTGTCAAAATCTTAAATTCACCAAACAGACTTCTACAAGACACCCTGTCTTTCACTCCTTTAATGAGCCTTAAACCTTTTTTTTGTATGGATCATATAAATGTTTCAAGCTCACTGCTCTGAAGTGGTATAAAAATTATGGTTGAATTCAAATTGTGATGAATTATGTGTTCATATTTTGTGATCTTTCTAGTATAAAAAACACCTGTTCATGCTGTTTATACTACTTTGTGTTTTCTAATTATGATTTCTAACATATATTGTTTTACGTCCATTATTAGCATTACAGTTTTATACTACCTTAGTACAAAAGCTTGTTCCAAGGTCTGACCACCCCTAAGGGCTGGAGGGGCTGGACCCCATCAACATTTAAAGCTTGGCTGTATAAGAAGTAGTTTGAATTTTTAATTTGTTCACATTTCATAAAAAGTAGTTTGATGGGTTTATAATTTTTTATGTTTTGTATGATATATGAAGAGGTCTTTCACAATTAAGTGAAGTTGCTTAGGTTGCAAGAAGTTCATGAAGGACCTTACCTTAACATTCATTTCTGTCAAATTTCCTTTCACTTCCTTGTTGTGTTCAATTGATATCATGGTTTCCCCTCACAAGTCTCTTCCATTTCAAGTTGGATCAGGGAATCTTGGCCCTTAATAGGGTCATCTGGGTTTCATAGAAATTCATATGTGTCTGTGTCTCCCCCACTTGTTGGAACATCTGTTATTCTCTCTTCCAATGCAGGTAATAAATGGCTGCACTATACTGTTAGAAAAGCATGTGTTAACATGTTAGATTTCTTATGTTTTTTATTTGTGTGAGGCTAAATAAAATCTGTGTTTGAGTGTATGTGTGTCATCAGACAATCAAAGAAACGTTAATGTGCAGTTGTGAAATATGCAGTGTATCAATGAACAAATTTTCTGCTCTTTCTATCCTTGAGCAATATTGAAGGAAGTTTTATTAAAGTTGACATATGCAAAAAGCTTCCTTGTAAAAGTAGATACATATTGTGTAAGATTTGAGGCTTTCACCGCGGTGACTATGAAGAAAGCATTCTTCTGGGATTTGGCACCGTCTATATGTGGTGTTAACCGACGTTTCAGAGGAACGTATTGCCTCCATCTTCGGGGTAGAAGGAAAAATATAAGAAATCCGCAAGTGAAGAGACCGTGAGAACCAGTAAAAGCAGTTCCGGTTCTCATGGTCTCTTCGCTTGCGGATTTCTTATATTTTTTCTTCTACCCTGAAGATGGAGGCGATACGTTCCTCCGAAACGTCTGTTAACACCACATATACACGGTGCCAAATCCAAGAAGACTGCTTTCTTCATAGATACATATTGTACACCTACATATGAACACACAAACACAATTCTGTTTATATGTTGCAGAAAACTGGACACAAGTTTTAGACCTATATTCCTAAAATATAATCAATATGTTTTAAGATTTATTAAGCTTGATATTTAATGGCACTGTCAGCATTAGCTGTGTATAGCATCAATGATGGGAAGATTAATGAGTACACAGCAGTTGGTGGCATGCAAATTTGCATGGGAAGCTGAAGCACTCAGAGAAAACCTGCCCCAGTGCCACTTTGTACATCACAAATCCCCCATGACCTGGTCTGGGATCAAACCCTGGCCATGTGATTGGAAGCTGGTAACTAACCACCTGAGCTATGGCAGGGCCTTGAATCAGTATGAGACCATCAAACTGGATCACAGTGCAAGTGTTGAAGTACTTCTAAAACATGATAAAGAAATGTTCTTCTTTAATTTACTGTCACAAAATGTAGAATAAAATAGCTTAGTTACATAGACCAAATTTTTAACATTTTTCATTAACATATTCAGAATTGTTAAAGTTACTTGTGTTTGTATGCTATTCTTATGTTGTTGTGTCATAGAATTCTCCTGTTATGGAACTACAGACACCTGAAAGCCAACTGTGAAATCCCACAGCAATAGCTCCCTATTCAAAACAGAAACACAATATTGATTTTTTACATGATAATTTATGTTTAAAGAAGAAACTAATCTGCTAAAATAGCTTAAAATTTATGACTTAATTACTGAAAAATTTAATTTCCCTTTTGTTTTTATATATAATTTACTCCTGTCATTTCAAATCACATTTCTAATTCAGTGTGATTTGAGAACTGTATATAACAGTTTATGTTGGGAAGTAAAAAATAACAGAGCTGAGCTTGTGCTGTTGACCTTGCCTCTGCTTGTTTGGACAGATGAACATCTACTTCTATACCATCAAACCAATCTTGCCGAACCAGGAGCTTCTTGTATGGTACTGCCGAGAGTTTGCTGAGAGGCTCAACTACCCTCTAACTGGAGAACTTATGCTGCAGAGGATACGTATGGAAATAAAATATACCACTATTATGCATGTGTGTGCATGCATGGGCATATATTAACAGCCCCTTTATAGTATTTCTGAGATCCAGTAAAACAGCAGAAGTCCCTCAGTCAGTACAGGGTTGCCATAAATGTTTTGAGTGATAAGGAATTAAGTGTATTTTTAAATAGTTGCAGATACAATTGTAAAACAGCTTGAAAACAGCAAAGAAATTTGTTAAATTTTCAATGACAACACTGATTGCAATGTAGCAACTACCTATGGTGCTCAGAAGGCTACCAAAGGAACGTGGCAGCTGAAGTGCAAAAGTCTTGACTAGGAGGATTAGGACACATTCCTTGGTCACCCAGATCCCTAGCCCTACTTCATGTGGATTTTACCTATGGGGATATGTGAAAGACCAGGTGTAACAAGTCCTCATGCCACAGTACCTTTGAGAGCTGCAAGAACCATTTTCATAGTACTTAGGCAATGTTAATGAGTGACAGTAGTGGTGTATGCAAGAAGAATTTGAATATCACGTTGACATTGCAGAGTAAATAATGGAGCACATATCAAACGTCTCTAGATAAACTTTATGAGTTTCCATGTTTTTTAAACTTGTTCCATGTTTCTATCTGTAACGGTTTCAAAAAGACACTACTTCTTTGCCCAAATAGTTTATAATAGCCCTGTATTGTGACTAGGCAATAGGCTGGATGATCAGGGAATCAGAGTTCAGTTCCTAGCAGGGGTAGATATTTTTCTCTTAACCGTATTCAGAGTAACTCCACGGTTCACCTTACATACTATCCAATGGGTACTAGGGTCACTTTCTCTAGAGAATAAAGCAGTCATGGTGAGAAGCTGAACACTCACACACATCTAGTGCTGAGACTGAGAATGCATAAAGCTGTACATCCACTCTTGCATTTGTCATCATGGCATGGTGCTCAGTTAAGCACATGGACTTCACCTCCTTGTGGAATGTGCAAGAAGAATTAACAGACCTGAGAAGTAATCGAGGAGAAACTTCTTGAAAATTGTAGTATCTGATAAGCAGGGCTGGAAGTGGGCCCATTGTTAGATGCTCCCTGCTTGCAGAATGCTTTCTTTAACAAATCTATTTCCATTTCCTTAAGTTAACTATTGTTCCCAACATTGACGTGTGTAGAAATGAGGTCCTGAACCCGCACTACAATAATTTCCTTAATAGTATGTGTTGGGTCATTCCCCCAAGCTTCTCTAGTGGTGTAGAATGTTTACCTATTTCTGAAAAACCATTTTCCACCCCTGCTAATAAGTAAAAATAAAAGAATTTTGTACATTCACCATTCCCTGAAATTTTGAGACAGTATATTCAAATCTTGTAAGTCAAGAGTGGGAGATAAAATGGAAGTACTGCTTAGCTTTGGTGTCCTTTCATGAATAAATTGTAATGAAATTTGGTATTTGGCACTCAGTAAACTCTGTTAACCATATTGAAGTCTGCCTGAAATTATACAACATGGACTGTCAACTTACATGAAGAATAAAGCACTTTTTAAAAGTAGTTAAGAAAACATTGAGTATGTAGAAAGATGGCCTGGGCAGCAGTTGTGGCCATGAATGAAAGGAATATTATGTATGTGTTGTTACTGACATAACAACTTTCAGCATACTAAACCGATCTTCATGACTGCATACACAAAACCACTTTTTGTAATTTACTACCACTGTTCTGATGGGTATTTACAAGATTCAACAATATACATAATAAAGACCATCTTTATACCAGAACTGGTATGTAAACAGTTTAGAACTACAGGGATATATTTTCATAGTCACACATGAGTGTTATTTAAAGGCATGCAATACTGTTGTAGGTCAACAAGTACAGCAGCAGTCTTCAGTGGTGACCTCAGATTCTCCAAATTCAGATGAGAGCAACGGCGAGACAGTTGACAAGGATTGTCATCACATTGGATATGAATCCCACCCTGTCCAGATTGTGGTGTCTCCTGGCAAGGAAGTGATGCACATTGGTGGCTATGAAACACGCCCAGCACAACTTACACCATCCCCCAGTAAGGAAGTCGCAGGCCATGGTTATGAGCCACGTCCAGCACAACTGACTCCCACAGACGGCTCTGTTCGATCAGATGAGGGTTACCACAGCAATGGTTACCATGATGATGGTTTCACACCACCAGAGGACAGCAGTGATTCTGACAGTGACAACAACTACGTTCTGGATTTCAGGTCAGATTCTCTCCTGTAGCATTTAACTTACCTGCTATAGTGTGTTTGCAAGATATCTATACAAAATTATCTTCTTACATTCAGAAATGTTGATTCACTTCTAACATATTTTGCATTCAGAATCAGGAATAGTTTTTAAGGAAATATTATGTGGTCTTTCCATGCAGTTTTCAAGATAATTAAATACACATTTTAAAAATCTGCATAAAATATCTTGGATTGTGCGTTTTTCAGACATTTGAACATTTTCCCCTATATTAGCATGATTAATTGCAAATATATTATTTTTTAAAATTGGCATCATAAGCATTTAGCAATAATGTGGAGATCTGTGATCAATGTTCCATGTGGCTTCCCAGGATTAAACCACATCCTTTATTAAACTTTTTCTTTAATTCGCTTAGTGGGGGGTGGAGTCCAACTGGGTCCACTCAGCATGGCAGCCACTGATTGGCCTATTGTACCTACCCTGAGTTATTATGATGATGGAGAATTTGATGGAATGAAGATTGGCAAGGGAAACTGAAGTACTCGGAGAAAATCTGCCACTTCGTCCACCACAAATCCCACTTGACCAGACCAAGAATCGAACCTGGGCCACGTTGTGGGAAGCCAGCGACTAACCGCTTGAGCTATGGCGTGGCCCTTATTAAACTTTTGTTTAGCAGTCATATTTATCATAAACAGTTTTTGGATACTCTCATTAATATTTTATTTTGCACCTTAAATGTGTTTTTGGCAATCGCCATGAGGATCACTGCATATTCAAAATTAAGCAGCTTCTAGCAATTGTGATAATTCTTATAGCTTATATACCTATATAATATGGATGTGAAATGATTTCATTAGCCAGTATTCCACTTTCCCTATCATTTTCGTAGGTCAAACAGAAGTGAAGACATTAGAAGAATGGAACAATATCTGATGGATCCTGCATCAGTAAGAAACTGAGCAGTTAGATATAATCTAATTCAGAACTAGCTATATTGTATCCAGATATAGCAGTAATGGTACTAGATAATCTAATGATTATGATAACATACTTATCATAAATTATAGAACTGAATTTGATTTCATGCAGTCTTTTCATTTGCCAGTGTAAGATGCCCCCCTATTCTTTTGATTCAAATGCAGTAAAAATGTACATTCTGTGTAATGTCTGGGCTAATCTGGAAGTCTAAGGACATTGTTTCTTGGTGACCTTAAACATTGTCCATCTGACCTGCCAAGAAATTTTAAATGATCCAGCTGTTTATTGATCAGGGTTGAGCATCAGTCTGGTTCATTTTTTAGAGTTTCTAGATAAAATGAAACAAAAATCATTATTTATTTTCCTCATTATATCTCTAAATGAGAAGAGGTACATGAATTTATGAGTAGTAATGTAGTAGAGGGTTCAGAGGTGCTTCAACAGTATGGTTATTTATGCCCAGAATTTGCAAGTAACCAGTACATCTTAGTTGAGAATAAAAATATGAAAGCTCTTTTTTTATTTAACACGGGCCCTCATTATTCTCAGAGTTTTAATAGGTTCTTCCACCTGGCATTGTACCTGTTATCATCATCTGTAAACAACTGCATCCATACATAGTCTAGAAACAGTCACAGGTACTTCTGTGCCAACGTTGATAAACATTTTTTATTTTTCTAGGAAACTTCATATTGTTCTGCAGTTTGTGAGAACTGGACACCCTTTTTTAGCTCAGTATAGTTCTTCCCTACATTTAACCTTTCCAAATTACTGTGTTCTTAGTGCATTTATCAATGTGGTAATTAAGTTTTGAGTTCTTTAAAAATGGGGAATTTTTTGACCTGCTTAGTAACCACCAGTCTTTAAACAAATCTTGCGCTTTAGTAGATTTTACAGAGTTGTTATGGTTGTTGTTGTTGATGGTGATGATAATGATGATGATGATGATGTCATTATTGCTGTTGATGTCATTGCCATTGTCACCTCATCTGATCTAATGAGAAAAATATTAATAGTAAGCAGAAATTTTATTTTTGCATTGGGTAGTTTTCAGCATAGTGCCTTCTCCCAAAGAACCACAAGTACCTGCTTTCAACCCCTCTCCCCCATCACACACTATCAATGTTGTTCAGACAGACAATATATTTCATAATCATTGCAACTACTGTCAGCTGTCAGTGGACTGAATGAATGAACTCTGACTCCAGAACAAATAGGGGGTTCGTCCTCTTTGCCAACCCATCCAGTGTGACTGGATAACAGGGACTGTTTTTCCTGGGATAAAGTGGCCAGAGCATAAAGCTGACCATTCACCCCTGACTACTGCTGGCATTAATTGTAAAGCTATATATCTCGTGTATCAGGTCACAGTGAAAGTGCTGAATGGGACTTTCATACACATTAAGAGACTTGTACAGAAGCACTGTTCTGAATAACTGATTCATTTTGAATATATTTTAGGAGGCAGTACGTCTGATGGACACACAGTGTTGTTCAAGTCATTCTTCACCCCTGTATTCACCATGATAGCCAACTCCCTAAAACTAAGTTTATGTTTTATTATTTTCAATTCCAGCAAAAAACCAACAGAGAGAGAGACAACTGTGGTAGTAGAACCACCAGACCTCCAGAAAAATGAATACCGCAAAGTGAAAATCAAGATCTCAAAAGCATATCATTACAAAAGTAAGACTGCTGATACCACAGAAAGTATTGACACAGGCGATAAAGACTTGGTATCTAGCCAGCAGACTCCAGTAACATCTCCAAGAAGGGCAGTTACCCCTAATGACACAGTGATCATTGTTGACTCACCACCACCACCTCCTGTACCATCAGTCCAGCCAAGTAAACCATACTATGAACCAGAAGTGGTAAGCAGTGGTGGGAATACAATAAGCAGGCACAGTCCCCCCACAATGAGCATCCTTGAAAATATACTGACAAGGAACAGGACAGATACCAACAATAACAAAGATGCTCCAAATCACAGGCTACCAGCTGCTACTCCCCCTCCATCATCACCTACAGAAATGGCTTATTCATACAAGAAATCACATCGGTATGGTACAATTCCTTGTAGTCCAGATTCTAGTTCAAGCACAAACAATTCAAATACGACAGCCACAACACAGCCTCTCCCTTCAATTATTCCCCAACCACCCCCCCAGTCACCTCAGCACCCACATTTGATTCTACCCCCTTTACAGCCCACACGCATACCTCTTCATTCCCCAAGAACCCCAACTCCACCCCAACCTTCAGTTTACCATGGTGGTCCCCAGTCTCCAATTCCACATACAGAGGTAACTTATCTCAATGGACAGCCTGGCAGCATCCTACCATCAGCTCCGATTTTCAGTAACCATTCACCCTACCCATACAACTTGTACTCAACACAAAATGGGAGCATGATTCACCACCATAGCCCTCCAGGTTCCACGTCATACTCTCCCCCCCATTCTTCAAATCACATCATGGAACGCAGCACCCCTGGAATCCATCACCCTCCACCCATGATTGGTTTGCAGAATGGTGGACTTGTGAATGGTTCAAATGGGAACTTACATTTGAGTCACCATCTACTGACACCATTGGCACCATTGCAGCAGTTATCACCACACAAATGTGAAAGGTCGTTGTCCCCGGATGCTGGTGGCAGTAGTAGTCCTCACAGCCCAAACAGCAGTCATGGCGGGGGCTCCAGAGGCTACAAGTCTCTCCCATATCCACTCAAGAAAAAAGATGGCAAGATGCATTATGAGTGCAATGTTTGCTGCAAAACATTTGGTCAGCTCTCCAACCTCAAGGTGCATTTGCGTACTCATTCGGGTGAACGCCCATTCAAGTGCAATGTATGCACAAAGAGTTTCACTCAGCTGGCTCACCTCCAGAAACATCATCTAGTCCACACAGGTCAGTACGTTTGTCCTGAAATGCAGACAACACATTGAATTATATTATGAAATTGATTTGAGTATGCATAACGTGCTGTGCACAATACAGTGGGACTTTGGTAATCCAAAGTCACAAAAAATTGAACTCCCAATAATCAGAGTAACTTACAGTACCTTCAAAAAACTTTCAGCACCACCAAAAATCACAAATTTAATCTAATTATTTTACTTTCTTGCAGTATAAATAAATTCCAGGTCGTGAGAGATATAATCCAGTTATGTATTGCCCTAAGACTGAGGTGTAGCCAAACATCTGTAGGTTGCCGCCATTGTCTATGTATAATGTACCTATAGATCTTTTGAATAAATACTTTTACTGAAAACTGGAATTTTTTGTTTTAAATCCAGTGATTGATGAATTTGGTAGTTTGAACACACCAGTGCTTTAATCATTTCAGATTACCAAGGTTGCACTGTAATTAATTTGGTAAATGTGTAAAAACACAGACATAAGAACAGCAGCTTAAATCCTCTGAGTACCATGTCAGTAAGTATGTTAGAAAATTTACATACATCACAATACACACATGGTGAGTTTAAAGCGTTTGACAGTGGTGAGACCTAACAGAAAAGTTTCGCAAAGGACCTGACCTTTTGGAAAAAATAGTGGTGGGTAATAGAGCTTGGAGTCTTCTAGTAGGAACCAGAATTTCTGAATGGACAAACCCATACTCTTCAAGAGTGCAAGCGAAATGTGTGTCGATTTTTTTTTAAATCAGAGGCATAATTCCTAGGAAAATATTCCCTCAGAACAAAAGTTAACTAACTGAGCACTTTACCTTAGTTCATGTTCCTGAAACTAAAAATCTTATTGCAAGTATTTTATTTTGATTCCCTTAAAGATATACAGAGCAATATGAGAATACTGAAAGGATATTCTGAAACTGATAATTGGCAACAATTCAAACATGGAAGACGCTTGAAATGAATATACAAGGCGTAACTGAAAGGTGCAGACAAATTTTACATGAGTTCCGCATACCAAAAAAATAAAAAATGCCCATATCAACACGTGTCTGCAAAATGTATAATTATTATTATTATTATTATTATTTATTTCATCCATAGCTGTAGAGAATTACAATTGGACATGTCAAACATCAACATCACATCAAAAATAACATAAGTAAAAAAAATAACATAACATTCACACAGTGATTCATTTTTTAGTTATAGCTGAAAGAGTACATTTACAATACATGCTCACAATGCCCTTCATGAGATTTAATGCATGCCTCAACACATCTCATCATGGACTGCCTAATCAGTTTAGAGATGCTGGGGTAGTTGCAGATAATCTGCCAGGCATCCACAATGCAATGGGGAAGTACCTCTTCGTTGTCAATGTAAGCTGCATACATAAGGATTTTAGATGTCCGCACAGGTAAGAATCCAGAGGACTCAAATCTGGTGAGCATGGAAGCAATGCAGTTGGTTCTCTTCTGCCTGTCCATCAATCATGATATGTGTTCTTGAGAACATCTTCCACATGACAACTAAAAATGCGCTGGAGCACCATGCTTTCTTTCAGCTAAAATTCACAAGCTAAATATTTCTGGCCACAAGTTGTTATGACATTTTTACTTGTTTTGATATGTGGAATTTGTAATTTGTGCTCTAAGTTTGTCCTCACCTTTCAGTTACACTCTGTATAAACTCAGAAGGTGAATAATTTGTGTGTGTTCACACTCACTAAAAGTTAGTGACATATTCTTAAACTTGATTTTCATGCTTTATATATTGTGGGCAAGCTTCTGAAAGAAATGATATACTGATGTCGCAATATGAACCTCAAAGTGCCCATATATTTTCCTCATATGTGAATATTGCATTTGTAGGAGAGAAGCCCCATCAGTGTGACATATGTAAGAAGAGATTCAGCTCCACCTCTAACCTGAAGACTCACCTTCGGCTACATTCTGGCCAGAAACCCTATGCATGTGACCTTTGTCCCGCCAAGTTCACGCAGTTTGTTCACCTAAAATTACACAAACGTCTCCACACCAATGAGAGACCATACACATGCCAGGGCTGCAGCAAGAAATACATCAGTGCAAGTGGGCTCAGGTGTGTTTTCCATGCTGTTTAATTTACTGACATATCAAATTAAAAAATAACAGTGTAATGCACTTACACAAAACTAGATGAAATTGGTGAACAAAGCTAGAGAGGGGCATAAACGTCACTTGACCTTACAGCTGAATAGAAACATAAGTTAGAAAATAGGCTGAGAGAATAGAAAAGACGGCAAAAATTGAACAGCTGCAGTGTTGGCGATACCAGTAGCAGTAGTAGTTAAATTGCTTTGAATTAATGGAAGTAATTGTGTATATTAAGAATATCTGTGTCACAAAAACTTGGTGTTATACTAGACACAGATTTATGTATTGTAATATAACACAACTCCATAAACTTTATCCTTTTAATTTGTTTTATATTATTTACTAACTTCATCCTCTGATGTCTACGATGCTCAAAGTGACTAACATGACAGCTTAGATTTTTCATAGACTCGTCATATATAATTCTTAGCAAGTGGGTGCCGGTGAGCAAGTCACCAGGGCACAATGTGCACCTCACATTGCTAACTTTCTGACTGAATCTAGAGCTCAAATAGCTGTGCAAACAGTATTCATAATCCTCAGAATTACTGGGTTTTTAACTTTCTCCATCATCCAAACTATTCTACAAACTAGAAAACAAGATATATCGGAAAATGTATCTCTTTCCATCCTCAGTTGGGGGGTGGGGGAACAGTGATGGAGGTTGGTTATTTCTAAGGGACCCAACTGAGTAGATGTCTTCCCACCTCACCTGAGGATGAAAACAGATACAATTTCTAAGATGTCATATTTTCTAGTGGTCCAGTGATTGAGGTTGGCACTTTCAAAGGGACCCAAATGAGTAGGTGTCTTCCCCCCACCTCACTTGAGGATGGAAACAGATCTAGTTTCTGAAACGCCGTGTTTTGTAGTTTCTAGAATACTGGATGACAGAAAAAAGTCGAAACTCCAGTAATTCTGAGTGTTATACACCATCATCACAATCCTTTATAATCTAGTATTCATAATATCTGTATTCTTTGCTGTGCAGAACACACTGGAAGACAACAAGTTGTCGGCCAAATAACATAGAGGAGGAGCTAGCATTGGCAGCAGCTGCAGGTTCTCCACCAGGTTATTTTGATTATGCAGGCTCAGATATTAGCCTGGGTGAGCATTATCTTCATTAACATCAGCTTTCATGAAGAACTGGAATATATGGGTATTGTTCAAATGAAATATCTTCACATATTTGGCCTCCTCAGGAAACAACTATACAGTTGTAGATTTTGATTAGATAAACTTCTCAGGGCGCAGTGGCATAGTGGTTCCAGCAGCATCCCAGAGGGTTCTATGCTAAGGGGTGCCATTGGCTTATTTTTCAATGGGCTGCCTGGCTCAGCATTCATGGAGACTCTTTTTAATGACAGAGTCCTCCTTTGCCCAGAATACCCTTGAACGAGTTTTATTTGAGCAGCCCTCATACATTTAGTTTCATGGATACCTCATAATAGTCAGATAAACAGATAAAGGTAAGAACTGGGGATTTTTTTAAATTTTTAAATTTCCTGCAGTCAGTAGTAATGACATCTCAGGGTATGGAATTGTGATGTAAGAGCAACATTAACTCAACTTAACAGCATATTTGAAATGATTTATATTTATGGACCTTGATGCATTGTCTTAAAATAACCGAGGTAATCAAAGCTATCTCTGTAACAGGCCATGAAGGCCAATAGGGTTGTGAGACGTTGAGGCTGCCACATTATCTAGACAATCAGCTCAAAGATTGCGATAAGGTTGTCAGCCTTACGCGCCAGCTGCGCTTTACTCCCCAGGAAAATTGAGACTGTCAAAGCATTTTGTATGTTGCTAAACGTGATTTTTGCTGATTGCAGGTAGCTTAGAAAAAGAGATTCCTGATATGGATTCAAGAGATTCATACGATGCTCAACAAACTCAACATTGCATTACAACTGCCAACATCAGTAGTTCAGATCCACCAAGGCCTAGTGTGATCGAAACATCACAGCCTCATGTAATTGAGTGCACATAAACAATTTTATGATAATCTGGGTCAGGAAGAATTTGTGAATTTGACTCTTATGCTGTTGCAGTTTAGTGAAATGTACAGACATGATATTGTTAAGAACGTGGACCTGCAGAACAGTTTAAATATCAGGTACCCTCAGTAGTGTTGAAATATCAGTTCTGTGCATCTGGTTATTTAATTATTTGTGCATAACAAATAAATGTTACTTTATTTATTTTTGGTATTTGTCAAATAATAAAATCTGTTTGAAAAAGAGAAGGAAAATACTTATACCATTGGCAGGAAGCGATTCTGATGAAGACTGATATTTCTCTTTTAGCAATGAAATGGCAAGAACTTCACAAACTGAGTGTTTGAACACATTTACTAATTTATGATCATCTTTCCTCTCATCACATGATAATCACTACTACTACTACTACTACTACTACTACTACTGTCACTGTGTTTCCATCCTTTCATCATCTCCATTTTTTATAGATCACATTGTACCACAGCTTTGAGGTTTGATTTGTAACCTACACAGAGAGTGCACAGGGTGGTAAAATTTCTTAAAACCTGAGTTCCGTAATAATACTAAGCACATGCCGTGAACATATGGTCAGCTTTATTCACTACCTGTGTGACAAGGTGGTATGTTAAAACTCATTTATAACACTATCACATCCCAGGTAAGAAAGAACATTAAATTCTGAAGTAATTTCAGAGTCATACAAGATTAGTATGGTGAAAATCCTCCATTATTTTTACAGCAGATTTAATTCTATATCATTCATTTTTATGAGTTAAGTAACTTGGAATTAAGGTTTGAGGAATACAGATGAAAGCTATTTAAACCCTTTTGTGGGCAGAGGGAATTATATTTCCCACTACATCTTTCCCCATATCAGATCTGTTCTTTATACACTGCATACCTATAGTATGTTGCCTTGTCATAGGCAGTGGGAGGTATATATCCCACTGTAAATTCTGTTGAAATCACATAAGATTTGCTCATGAAAGGGTTATATGAAATAATATCAACTCCCATTATTTCATTCAAATTTAGCAAAGTAAGTAAAATGATACATTGCGGTAAATAATGACAAATGTATGATATGCTGAGCAGCTGCAGCACAAATCCTGGCCCAGTAGATGTCACCACTGGCCTGATTATGCTCTCTGTAACTCAATACTGTTCCTGCCATCAATAATTAGTTCTGTCTGTACTAGTAGATACATGTTTTAGAACTGGTTCATGTTTTTCATGCACTTTGCATTAACTACAAATATTTCTCCATTTCTTGATAACACTGTTGGCTGAAAAAATAGATAAAATAAATGCTTTGTGGCATTAATTGTTTTATAAGTCTTCACAAAAGGTGTTCATGGATTAGGTGTAACTTTTGTAAGTGATTGTAGTAAATCAATGTGATTTTGTAAACACACCCTTAGAGTTGTGGGCCACTGCACCATTATACTGGTTGTAATATATTGAAGGAAGTGATTTTTCAGTTTTTAAAAGGGAGAAGTTTAGTCTTGATAAAAATATAACTCAGATTTTTCATCAGAAGATCCAAGTTTCAGTCCCCAGTGCATATCCCTTTCTGCCCAAGCCTGAGCTTTAGAAATGTGGAGAATACCAAGTGCTCTCCTCTACATATGTCCAGAGTCCATGTTCAGCCACTTATGCCTTCTGATAAGCTTCATTCTCACATCTTACTATTAGAAATACCAAAATTTGTTCCACCAAAGTCTTTAATTTTGCCAGCAGGTGGAGGTCAGGAAGGTCAGTAAGACCATACCATCAAGTATTTTGTCACAAATGAATAGTTGTTCAATGTGATTGCATTAACATCCCAGCAGTATTTATTACACAGTAATCAGTTTTTGTTATTAACAAATGTGTTTCAGTCCGAATGTATGATCTACAGTGTCTCAGTGTCTTGCAGTAAAATTTTGTCCTGATTTTAGCTGTTTTTGAATCAGTAAAGTATGTGAATACACATTAAAACCTGTAATTGATATAATATTTACAAATTATTTTTAACCTTGACCTTAAAGTCATAACTGTGAGATTAAGGTATATGTAAACTTGAAGTTGTTTGTGGACAAACCCAATGGAAATTTGAAATATACATCATCATCATACACACTTTAAAATCCAATTGTAATGCATGCTAAAACAACTTCTGGGCTAAGAGTGCAATCCCTTTTCATCCCAATTAGCATACTGGGAGCTCACTTTTACATTAATATCATCAGTACTTTGCTATTTGCTGTATTTTTATGTAAAAATATTCCATTACTTCAATATGTAGAACTGTACTATCTTCACTGTTGCAGGTCTTCTAATTCATGTTAATATATTTCCCAGTTTAACCTTAGACATTTATTAGGCAAGGCTTTGACTTGTGTCTCCCTGGTCTGGCAGGTGGTAGTATTTGTACTGTCCTTATATCCATGTAAAATAATCCCATAAACATATTATTTTGTATTTTGCTCATTATTGATACTATCAAGATATAGTTCCTAACATTCTTTTGTTCTAACAATACTGCATTGCCCTCTTTAGGAATATGTGTATCAAGAAAGGCCCTGTGACATGTAGTATTTTGTGCATGGAGAACTGGTTCATGTTTATAAATGTACGTAGAGTAGACCCTCTACAAAAATTTGGTGTCACAGAACATCTATAAAACCTGTTTGTAAGTAAAATTGACATTTATCTACTTCTGAAATCACTATTATTATACAGAATGTATAGTATGTATGTAGTGACTAAGTGCATACATGTAAATCAAGACACATTTCAGACTGTGACTGAGCTGGTAAACTGGTTGCTCATTAAATTCTGTTGTTTGAACAAAATAATCTCAAGTTTAGAGAAAACAGAAACATGCAACTTAATGATAACAGACTATGAACTTTACCCTCTGTACCTGCAAACTACGCCAAATAATTTTGCTACACGGTCTTATACTGTAATTAATTGATCTAATAGATATTTATATTACATGAAACATATGTAATTGTACTGTGGCAAATGATTGAAGTTACGGTATAAAAAGAGCCTACTGTTTGCAGATTTTCCTCATGAACATCTACAATTGTGTCCTTTTTTAACTATTTTTAGTGTTTTAATCTTATCTTCAGCTGGTACACATTTTAAATGATAGCAATACTAAAAACGGAATAAAATATTTTAACCTGGGTAGGATTTCAGTCTGTGACCTTTGCTACACAAGTTCCTCCACTGGCTATGGAACTGCATTTTTATGTTGGATTATAAATCTATGTTACACCCAAATATGGAATTAACAGCACTTGGTTTCTAAAATTGCAAATTTGTGCGTTAGGAAGGTAGGTTTCAAGAGTTCTAACCAAATTCCTTTTTAAACTTTTTCCATTATTTATTTACCACTGATTAAGTTAGGTTAGGGATAATGTGCCAGATTTGATTCAGGTGTACCTAGTTTGAATCTCAGCTGGAGCAGTTTCACTGTGAGCCTCCAATACTAAATATAATGATATTTCAGGAACTGAAAGACCTGGTGGTTCTTCAAGGTGTTCAACAGATGTTCTGAGTGTTTGACAACAGGGTCATGTCATTGACTTTCCCATCATGGGGTTTCTATGATACCATCTTGGTCTTGCTGTCCTGTTATTTCATCTAATAAAGAGGAGAACATAAAACTCCTTGGTGAACATGATCATTGGCATTCAGGACAGACAAAATAGCTCATCATTTTGTTACCAATTTTAGGCTACTTCAGTCTGAGGAACTGGGGTTCAGTTCCCTGCAGGAGCAAGAAATTTTTCTCCTCTCAACTCACCCTAACTCTGTGACTCACCCAGCCTCCTATCCAATGGGTACTATTCCTCAGGGATAAAGCTGACTACTTACTCTGTATCTAGTTCAAAGGCTAAAAATGGTTGAGCTATACCTCCACTCCTCTATATATCTTCATGATGTGCTTAATTAATTAAGCAAGGGGAAACTTGTATCTTCAATAGAAACAAAATGTTCCTTTGCAGATATGTACTGGTTACCATTCAGTATTAATTATTGTTTAATATTCATTGCTAGTTTGTCCAGTAACATTATTAGTGCATCACAGTTAATTCAACAATATAAATATTTATGAATGCTTGCTTTATATATAATTTTATTTCTTTACCTTAATATTTTGTGCACCTTTTAGTATCCAGTTCTGTATAAGTACAGTATTACTGTTGTGCAAATCAGTGTAATTCTTCCATAACCTCCCACATTTTACTCCATAAATAGAACTTGCTCTCAACCTTTCCATTATTTGGCAATTATAAAATTTAGTAGGGTTATTTCAAAAAGTTCAAATTTAATACCTGAGCACACATATCATTATTAGTGAACATATTGGAAATGATTGTCATTACTTAGTTCAGTAATTGTCATCATCCTGTCTCCTTTCCAAAACACTCGGGGTTGGGATATAAAAACTTTTTTGTTTCTGGGTATGATACATGGTCCCTCATTTTGAGGCAAATGTAAATTATTCATGAGTGAAAAATGTGCCTGAGAAAATATTTGGATCTAGGAATGGTGTAAATACAGTGAACTGTTCTGCTATTTTACATCACAAGACATTTCATGTAAATTTTCCAGTAGCATAAAACTGTAAACATTGCTATGACTTTACAATGTTCTGTCAACAAATATTGCAGTTGTATTGGAAACAATAATTGCAGAATTTTTCTTTAAGTATCAAGAGAATATAACGGACTGAACATGTAGCAAAAATGGGGAGAAAAGAATGCATACAGAATTTTTGTGAGAAAATCTGTTAGAAAATTTCCACCTGGAGGACCGAGAAGGAGATGGAAGTATAAAATTTAGATAAATTTTGTGATTGTAAGTTGTGATGATGGGCTGTGGATGGAACTATGGATCTGGCTCAGGGTCATTCCACTAGTTGACTTTGGTACTAGCAGTGATGAACTTTCAGTCCCTGCTGTCATAATGACTGGTAGTGAACTTAGTAAGCCTATTACAAAACTAATAATCAATGAATTTATCTTCCTTTGTGCACATGAAGTAGAATATAATCTCAAGCTTTGATAGACATTCATTTATTTATATCATATCCACAATTAAATTAAGACAATTCTAACAAGGGGAGTTACTTCTTAGAACAGGCTATGATTCATATTATTCTGCAGGTTATGACACCATGTAGTCTCTTAGGTCTGTACTGATCCTTTGGAGGAACATACCATGGCCTACCAGATTACATGGTGTCACAACCCAGAAGACTACAATATGGACCATCACTTCCAAGAAAATCTTATATGTCATATGAGTTAACATTCAGTCTGTAAGATCATGTTAATGAGGGTGTGTCAGGTTTGTTTTTAATCTCTTCCTCCTGTAGACCTAATATAGCTGTAATAAGGAATATTTTGAAACCAGTACTATAGCTAAGTGTATTGAAATTGTAAATGTAGAATATATATGTGCCTACAAATTTTGTATGAAATTATTTTTGTATGTAAGAATATCTGTGTCACTTAAGTGTTTAGTTTCAGAACGTTTTTTGTTGAGCCATCTGCTCCATGCATTAACCTAAATCTTTCATATCTCTTAATTTCTTAATTTTTCCTGTCAAACTCACATATATATAGTACTAACACACAACAGGATGCATTCCTTAAAGATTCTTAATTTCTTGTTTGTAATATTTGGAAAGTTGACCATTACTCTTTTGCTGTTCTCAACTAAGTGACTTTTCCCACTACTTTTATTTACTTTATTTTAATGAAAACATGCCATATTATCTTCCTCTAGCCTTTCACAGCATGAAATTTTTTACTGCTATATACACCCATTTTTGCAAAATTTCCCAGACTGGATAAAATGATTGTGTGTGAAAAGATGAATAGATAATGATATTATCTTTGCAAAAGAGAGAGAGAGGGGGATAAGATACTGCATTAATATCTTTGAGTATAATTTTAGATAATGGTAGGACCATAATCCACTTTTCTCCTTTCCTTACCTTCCCATGTTCATTGTTCATCTTTCCTCCTCCTTACCATTTACTTCAGGCTGACCAGAAGCAGATGTATTCTGCTAATTGGTCTAGTAACTTGTCTTTATTTCTGAAAGAAGCTTGTAGAGGCCAAGGACAGATTTAAGCTACAGATTTCACTGAAAATAAATATCCAGTTGCACAGTGTCTTATGCTGCCTGTGTATATGCTGTGTAAACTTATTCATCTTTCCAGTACATAATTAACAATGTGCTAGTGGTACAGAACACAGCTAAGATAGTCAAAGATTACGTATTGTAATATGCTGACTTCAGAAACAGATGTAGCTTGTAGAGATTAGAAATGTAACACCTGTGACCCTAATCTGATCACCTTTGTGGAGACCTTTAAAAAGTGAAAACAGACCAGCAATGACACTCACTCTCACCTGATGATCAACTTTCTAAACATTGTGCTCAACAGTGTAATCATTCTTTTGTTGTGCAGTTGCACTCCGAAACTTAATGTGTATCATTGTTGACAAAAATTTACATTCATTGTTAATATTTAATAGTATAAAAATTGTAAACATTGCTGTGACTTTAATGTTCTGTCAAAAATATTCAGTTGTGTGAGGAACCTTAATTGCAGGTTATTGTAAAATTGTAGGTGCAGAATGGTTCTTTGACTTTGACATCCGGACAGTAACCCACCGATGGTTGTTGATTCATAAAATTAAATGAATTGGTAAAACTAAATTCAAACTATACTGGATTACAAATAATTAAATTTGCTTTCAATTGTATGATTATTTGTGGTTTAATATATGTTTATATTAAATACTGGTAATATGTGTTCATAAGATGCTGTTATAATTCAATTCATTTAGTTTCTTCATGTTAAAAGACTCTTTATGTTCTCAGGCATACACATATTTTCTGTTAATAATTTTATATTGATTATTACTCTTTTTATTTGTTAGGCTTATTATTTATGGTTAATATTTGATTCTTATGAACCTCATTGATAGATAATATCCCATACATTTAGTTCACTCTCATTTTAAACATCTGCACAGATTTTGTAATTTATTCATAACAGATTAATCCCTTTTGAGTCTTTATAATAAGAAGGATATCCATGTGAGTTGAAGTACTTGTATCAGTATAGTATGTACCATGTACACATGCTTGTTGTGATAAACAACCAGTAACCAAAATTTTTTAGGGGTTGCGTTCCTACAATGAAGAGATTGATCTCATTTACTTATTGTAACAGTGTTGAATTTCGCAGTATAACATGAAAGCTAAGTAAAAATTGCTGTTGAAATTTAGAAGTAAACATACATCTAAATTAATTCTCATAAATATAGAACTTGTGTGAAATACTTATCTGTTGCATATTTTGAATTTGAACTTGCATCAGCTGGCTGTCGCTAAATGTACATTTTAAATATAAATTTTGTGCATGTTGTCCAACATGGGATTATAAAGCTAGGCCTCTATGGGAAAAAATATTTAATACATCTATATACTGCGTTTAGGTAATTTGTCATACTAATTTTGTTAAGACAAATTAGTTTCTATGAAAAGATATATCCAAGAATTTTATTGTGCCTTGAATTTGGAGTAATTTTTAGATGAGGCAGCTGAATTAGCTTCAGTGTTGGTAAAAGATTTCAAGCCCTTTCATTAAGCCCTGTACCTAATCATTTTTAATTTCATAAGGATTATTGTTGTACATATGTCTTTTCTTTATGGCTGCTATTTTATGCCTGATTGCATAAAAATACAATTGCACATCACAGAATATATTTATTTCACTTTAGAGTTTAATAATTAAGATGTAGAAATGTCATAAAAGTATTATCATTATTTTAAATATATGTTATCAACTCTCTATAGAAAATAGCTTGCGCGTTATTTATTGTTGCTATATGTGAATGTTTGTAAATAATTGATCAGTGCTGTACTTTGGTTACATTTTACAAAGCTGGGACAGAAACTCTATGATTCTTTTATACATATTTCATGCGAACACTTAGAAATAAGTAGTAAAATCTTAAAACAATGCTCAATATGAATGCAAATAAAAAGTCTAGTGTTCTGTGTTACACAGTTTTTGATAATCTTTTAAAACGCATATATATATGATGATGATAATAATAATTAAGCTATCTAATTATTGTCAATTAAAGGATGAAAATATATATGCATTTTGTTAATATATTTCTTATAAATGATGAAAATTATATAAATTTTTTAGGTACTTTTGCATGTTTTTGTCCAGCTTGTAAAATGTAGAATAAGGTTGGCTATATAGATTTTTCATCTCTCACTTTCTCATAAGTGTTTTGATTAATGTGGTATTTATTGTTATTTAAGAACAGGTGGCATCACCTTCCCTGTGATTTCAAACAGAGTTCCATGACTGAAAGCCATAATATTTGAAGAAAATAAAATTGTTTATAATGACTGAAAGGGACTTATTTTTCAGTTTATAGAATGAGAGATGCAATGTGGTAATTTGAGAGTTCCTATGCAGTTTGTTTGTCTTCAACTTCAGAACAGAATACATAATGGTGCAAAGTATTTTTTGTGCATATAACATAAGATCTAAAGCTTTCATGGCAGCAGAAGTAAATGCAGCCTTCTTGGACTATCATCTGTGTCAGTTGTTTAAAAATTAGACTTCAGGAAAGTTCTCTGTCTCCATCATGAATATCAGAATCTGATGATAAGATCAGAGGTAGTTGCTAAAATCAGTTATTTTTAACCAACACACAGCTGATAGCTCAAGAGTATTTTATTAACATTTATATGTCCACAAATCACATTTTACTAACAATTTTGATGAATTGGCACTGCATCAAAAAAAAAATATGCTATAAGAATATAACTAGTCTGGGTAAATAATGTCTAAAATACATTGGTTTCCATTATGACCCCACAGTTCTGTCCACAAGAAGTTAATCAGTTATTCAGATTTTAACATCAAGTAATTTAATAGGAAGTTGTAAATAAAATACAAATATGGGGCACCATACAACAAAGCAAAAGTAACGTAATAGATATAAAATTAGTGTACAGATATTTGATGCTAGGATAGCTCATTCAGTATAGCAACAGGCTATGGGCTGGGAAGTTGAGGAATCAGGGTTTGATTTCCAGCAGGGATAAGAGATTTTTCCTTCTTCTCAGTGTCTAGATTGTCTGTCGAGTCCATCCAGTCTCCTGTCCAGTGGGTACCAGAGTTAAAGTGGCTTGAGTGTGAAGCCGACCACTTGCCCCCATCTAGTGCTCTATGTGGCTATACCACCACTCCCTTGTACACCCTCATTGCATTGTACTTAACTGATTAAGCATAAGGCCAACTTTATTTATCTTCCAGTTATTTGGATACTAAAATGCAACAATATCCCATAGGACTGACTAAAAATGTTTATGTGGGTCCAGTTCTTAGCAGCACATAAAATTCATTAAAATGCAACTCAAACATATCTCATTATGTACCACACTGTCTCTATTTAGTTCTTTTTCTTTCCCTAATTTTCAGGAAATCTTTGAACATCCATCAGATTACAGTTTCATTTAGCATGTGAGATTTTAGATTCTCACAGTATTGACTATGAAGATTTCTGTCTTTGGTATTACACTATGCAGCTCATTGGGCCCCCATACACACAAAGTTTGGCCTCCCATTCAGCCTGCACAGTTGAAGACTGAAAGGCAAAACTGATGTGTGTGGTGTGGCGGGCCGGCCATTCGTTTGGGCTGTTGGCCTGTAGGAAACCCGTCAGTTCTACCTGCAGGCCCATAGCACGTGATGTGTGTGACTCAGCAATATAGGCTGGAAGCCTGCCGGTTTATCTGAGCATGTATGGGGAAGGAAAGGGAGATGGAAAACTGAAAGTTTTGCCTGTAAGGTCGATCGGAAGGCCAAACTGTGTGTGTATGGGGGGCCTAAGAATGAACCATTCTTCCAACATGTCAGTACCTATCTAACAAACTACACGGCATTGCATCTCAGAAGACAGAAATATTTATTTTATGTATGTATTTTTTTAAGTGGTTCCAAGATCTGTTAGAAAAGCAGCAAAATTTTCTTCATTTTTAGTTTGACAGAGTGATGTTCTATAATTCATGATGATGAATGGCTGTATTTCACTATTTATATTACAACAGCATTTTAACCTGCTTTTATTTCCATGGAAAACAGAAATAATAAACATTTATGTCATATATGTGAGCTGATAACTTGAAAGGGCAGTCGTAACTAAAAAGTTTCGGAACTTCGTTCGTTTCCACTAAACACCTTGCTCCTCATCCCATGGTTTTGTTAACTGGTGTGTTCTGGGAAGAACTTTACCGTAATTTCCTTCATATATTTTCTTATAACAATATTAATGAAAGACTATAAAGTAATAGTACTTAGTGATTCAGTTCTGCAAATAATTTCTGCCTGTAGATTCTGACTATTTTAATTCATTAGATGTAACTAGTGCTGGTATGTGCCAGTATGCACAATGGAAAACTTGTCACAAGTTACGTTTCTGCCAGTCCAGAATGTCTTCAGCCTATAAATGAGCATGAGAGTACAGAAAAATGTGTTTCTGGAAAAAAAAAGAGCACTGGATATAATCTCAAAGATTCATATTTTTTCTCATTTATAAATGTCAACATGTAAGCAATATTTCATGTAGAATTTATTGTGCTTATAATTCATTTCTACACAAAATTTCACACATTCAGCTCCAATGATTCGTTAATTATTACCATTAATTCAAAAGTTAAATGTAGATTTTGTATGGCTGTCAATTTGTTTTACAGTCTAAAATGAAAGAAAATTATCTCAGTAAAATTTGCATATTTTACTTAGTTCTGTTAACATACAAAATGTCTGGGCTCTATAATAAAAGATGCCAGTATCACTCTGGCCTCATATATTTGTACAAGATCTTGTTATGTATATTATACTTATTCCACCATTAATCATACAGAATGAATATTATCTGATATAATCATTGAGAAAATTTCATAATTATGTTGATGTTACTTGAAACTGAAAATTAAAAAGTACAAAAGCAGGTTGAGCTCTTGAAGCTAAATGTACTTATCACATTTCATATAAATGCAGTGTAGGAACCAAAATATATTCTATCTGTAGTTACTATAGGATTCTGACGATGGTGTATAACNTGTAGTGTGAAGTTCATACTGAGTTTCAGGAAAGCTGGTTCAAAATTATTGAATGATGTAGAAGGTATATGGATATGGACATGATGATATCAGAAGCCAAATTTCCTTATAAAATGAAAAATTGCTAATATAAAAATATGTATTCGGTTTATCTTCAAAATCAAATGTTCTTAAACATTAAAAAATTATTACACAAACTAAAAGTATTTAAAATCTGATAATTAGCGTTTTCTATTACAACTGATAATACTGTCAATGTACTAAATGAGATGTCACTAGTCTTCAGCCAAGTTCACCAACATTATTGCTGTTTATGTGCACAGCACACTGTGAATTGTCTGCTCTGTGGCAACTGCAGCACCTCTAGGTATTTATTATAGCTTCCTGTGATGATTAAATGTGTTATCATTCCTATTTTATTAATAGGCCTCTGCATCTGCAATATTTTACTGCAATTTGCCGTAGACTGTACATTTTCTTACCCTTTTACAAGTTCCTGTTTGATTATTTTATACCTCTTTTGCACAGATCTGCTACCAATGAACAAGGATTGCTTTCCTCTATATGTCTTGCTGCTCACTGACCAGTAGCACAACCAGTGACAATTTAGTGATTTCCAAGTTGATTGCTACATGGAAGTGGGTATTTAAAGATTTTTGTATTAAACATTATTTTTTTAATTCTGCATCCTACTTCTCCCTTCCATTACAGCATATAATCAAAAGTTCATTTCAATTTTTTCTGCATGAGCATGACTATTTCCTGTATACAATTTCATTTGATGCAAACATTTGTGAATTCTAACTACCGTATTTACGCATGTATAGGCCGCAGTACAATTTTCAGACAAATTATAGGAAAAATAATTTTCTTGGAATATTATTTCAGGAGTATTACACCCTGTATTACTAATTATGAATATAATTTTTTTAAAATGAAGTGTGATTTCGAATATTTCGAATATAAGCTGCATCCCAGTTTTCCTCTTGAATTTTTGGCAAAAAATGTGCCGTCTATACATGCGTAAATATGGTATTTACAGTACAAGAGGATTCATTTAAACGCCATGTGAGAAGGGGAGTTGTTGACAGACGTTCCTGCTGACCAGTTTTTGTTCCTCAGGAACAAGATCTGTTTGCTGCTGGCTTTCTATGCCATGTGACTCCCTGTACACCAGAGATTAATCATATTCACCATTAAATCAATGACTTTTCCATTGGTATTTATTTTCCTTCATGGTTTTATGACTCCCCAGAGATCCAGAGTTGAATCCTCTTCTAGGTATTTTCATGGCTCTTATGACAATGTCAGTTTATAACTCATTCTTTTCTTCAGTTCTAGATATGTGTTTTGTCATACTGTCAGACCTTTCTTATGTAAATCATTTCTAACAGTGACTTAATAGCCAATGTGCATATCAACCATGTATCCTGGTTGATATCTTATGGTCTTCCTCAGTCCTCCAAACATCTGTATCACGAAGAGGTTCGTAACTTCTTCCATTGAATGGAGGCTTTGGGCAAGGATAAGTATAAAGTCCCATAGGAAGTCAGTAAATCATGCACACAGGTAAAATGCTTACAAGCAACATGGAATAAAGAATTATTTATTTCACTCTCAAAACTCACTTAGGTCTAGATTTGTATGGTTTATTAGGAATGAAATTTGCTAAAATTGAAGAAAAGAATTGTGTAGAACACAAGTATAAGTAAGCATGTGGACATAAGAGTAGTTTCTATCACCCAGCGAAGAGACAGATGTAACAGTTTTGTATTTTGATGTTTATACTGCAAGAAAAGTGGTGGTTTTCACTGAAATTAAAACGTTTGCCCTGTCCTAAATTGATATTTTGATGATAAATAGATTCTACAGTTGATAAGACATTGTTAAATAGCTTACAAAGCAATAATATTTTGTACAAAGAGTACTACCTTCTTGGGACCAGAGATTCTTAAATTTTGTCTCTCAATGCAGCTCCTGAAACCGAGTCATTTCCTACAAACATAACCCACACATGTATTTCAGCACAAAAATTAAAATAAGTAAGCCATAAATTCTTCAATGAAATGAAGTATGGCACAAAATGTAGCTTGACTTCTGCTATTTCCCTTCAGTCAAGAGATGGAATTCTAAGACTACTGAACACAAGTGCCCTCATATAATTTTCTTCATTCACCCTGTCCCTGGAGTTGTTCTTAATGAGTTACAAATTTGAAAATCCTTATGTAGTGCTACAGAATGGATAAAGGCTTGCAAAAGTAAAAAATAAAAATTGGTAATCTCAATTAATATATTATGCATCCCTGATAATAATGTATAAAATATAACAATTTATGCAAAATATATTCACAGAAAATAATGAAAAGCAGATCTATCCCACTCCAAGATTATTCAGTGTTATTTTAGAATACATTAAATTTATAGAACAGAAGATGTAACAGCTAAATGCGCCTAGTAATATTAAAAGCTGGAATGCTGTTTCACGTATGAGAGGACATTGCATTAATACCTAGCCAAGAATGGCCCTTTATTAGCAGTTACATAAGAGAATGAAATCCAGATATAAAGGGGGGTTTGACCATAAATATTAATAAATTTTCTGCTAGTAATAGAGACTTTTTTGTTTTGTTTTGTTTTTTCGCTGTTTTCATAACACCCACAGAAACAAAATGCGAATTTTGATACTGCAAAAGAAAGGTCGGGATACCAAATCCACAACCTCACAATCTTACTTAGTGTAAGAATTGTCTTACAGGTGTCAGCACGATATCGATGAATCGAAAAAAGTGGGCTAGCCTTGAAGTCAGACAATGTGTTCGTAATTCTGTATCTGTCGTAACATCAGAGCAATTTGGATTACGTCATTGATGTGAAGCAAATGTTGGCAGAATATAGCAAGAAATATGAAGAAGCTTTGGACGGAACAGTATGTAAACCTTTTGCCGAATTTTCAATGTGATATACTCTGTAGTAATTAATTAGTATGGGTTATGTATCATGCATTGAGGTTATGAGAGGAGATGAAGGCACTGAACACGAAGCTAGCTTCCTTTTCCACGGATTGTGTTGTTGTAGCAATAATATTATACAAGTTTTCAAGGTGCTGGATCCAATGGTTGTAGTAACTTCATTTCCAGCATGCTAAAAATGCAGCAAGTAGTTGTCATCATGTTAATTATAATAATACTCTAGCTGTGAATGGAATTATGTATTTAATATGGCGTGATAAGGAATTGCCCAGGCACGCTGATTCATTCCGATACGCAATGCAAGTAATGCAGTGTCCTTCATTGCCGGCCTTGTATACATTTTTTTTCCCCCCCTCAACATCTGTCAAGAATAGCTTGGTTTATGACATGTTCCTGAGTTCGTTGTTGACTTGGTACCATACACACGGGCAAGCAACGTTTAAGTGTTGTTGAATAGAAATGGCCTTAAATTGCTTAAATGTAAATTTCTAATCGAATTTTTTTGCTACTACCTAGGAAAAATTCCTAGCATCGCATATGAACGTATATTACTGTATTTCGTTCACATGACAAACTCCTTCGTGTCTCCGCTATTTGAATCTTATAAAATTACTGCCAGATTGGTTCCTGCCCATTATAACATTCGAACCAGTTCGCAAAGTTCAAGTTTTATGGTAGGGGATCTGCTAGTCATAAGTCGGACTGGGAACCTAATTATGGGAGGCAAATTTCATATGTTGTTTACCGTAGTTTATTGAATTGTGGATTGTAAAGATGGATCGGGAAAAGTGAGGGAGGCACCACCCTTTGATTTTAAGATAATGTCATGGTATTTGCCTGGAGAGACTGCTGAATACCCGTAGAACAGTCATTCCCTACCTTAATTCGAACAAGCACCCCCTTCTCTGGAGCCAGTATGAGTCAGACTGGCATATTGCTTTAAATGGCAGCGTGTTAGAGTTATCAGATGGTTTATCTTTCTATGGGACCGCCTCTGTAGTCTAGTAGTCAGAATTCCTAGCTACAGATCCAGAGGCGCTAGAAGATTTTCTGTGAAGTTGGTCTGGAACGGAGTCCACTCAGCCTCGTGAGGATAATTGAGGAGCTACTTGAATGGAAAAGTATCGGCTCCGGTCTAGAATACAGAGATTAACGGCCGTGGGAATCCGTTGCGCCGACCGCTCCACACGCTCTATCCTCTAAAATTGGCACTAACTTCGCCGACAAGTGGCGGTCGCTCGGTCGGTATAGTTCGCTTGCGGACCAAAGGCCACGGACTTATTTATCTTTCTATGGACTAAATGAAACCGCAGACGATAATCCAAAATAGGATATTCCATATTACCATCCGTTCATATACTGAGTGAAATTAAATTCTCTCACAAGCTCTTCATAGCGTGATTCCTAGTCAAAACAAGTTAGAAATATTGTACAGCATTTTTCTGTGACGTTCAGGTTTCAGGAGACACGTCACCGTCAAATGGCGTAAGCTATCGAATGAATAAACCGTGGGCTACTCGTAGTTACAGTAGGTGTTCGAAGCGGCCTCCGACCATTGAAAATGACACGGCCGTGCTGCAAATAACATTCCCTCGAATACGCCTTAGCAAGTTGACATCGGGCCTTGTTACAGCTACTTGAAATCTTGCCACAAGATATTCGATAATCCTGGAAGGGACTGCAGAAACGTGGTCCTTCACCTGTCTCCACACGAAATATCCGCCGGAGTTAGATTCGGCCCTCGGTACCCAGCCGGCTTTAATTGGGTACGTAGCGTTCGACCATTACCGAATGTCTTCTCTACAGGGTCATCCAGGTACCACAGTCTCTACCTGGAAGCTAAAGGCACATCTTGCAGCCCCTGTAGAACAGTTTCCAAAGAATCGCTACGTTGTTAAGTAGTAAACCTATCATGTAGTAGAGAGGGGTCCACGACAATGTCCCTGACGATTGACTGAAACGTACTTGTTACCCACCTTCGCGAATAGCATTAGGATTATGCCTTCCGTCTCCAGGGGTGACTCTTATGGATGATGAACACACCCTCACGTGTGAAAATACTTCGGCTGTCCACAGAATTTTAAATAAAAGGAACTCGCTCGAAGTGTGTTGATGTCTTAGCCATCTGCAGAATTGCAACCGTCCGGAAACAGATGTGCACTCCGCGAATAATGGTGTGTTAGCAGTTCAGCCTCATGAAGTATTTCGAGGACCCTCGGTTGAGATAGACCCAGTTCTCGTCTGACATCCCATGAGTTTCTCCACGTCTCACATTCTGTAGCGGGAATTGTGGCATGTTCATTGGCTTATGTCGGAATATTCAGTTGGGCGACCTGAATGAACGTTTACCGTACGTGTTTTGGCGAGGGCACACCAAGGAAACCGGCAACAGCAACGCAACCGCAATTTCCCAGACTTGTTATCAGCCTGAGTTACTGAATGGAGAAGCGCAAATTGAGGAAACTGCCTTGTCGTTTCCTTGGTGTGCCCTCGACCTTACTGTCTCACAAAGACGCTGCATCACTCGTCTAAAAATGTTGGCGTCTGGATGACATACTCGTAGTGCGTATTCCCATGCAGCAGTAGGTAGGTACGTAGGTACCGAGGGTTAAGAGCATGCAGCGTTATTCAGCAAGTGTGTGTCCCATGATCATTCGATCACAACTGACCTCTGCTGTGCACTGTGTATCTTGAGTGAACCGAACAACGTTCTAAGCATCGTGTTGATAAATAACAGTCTTGAGTGGTGCGCTACCCCATTTGACTGTGACGTGTATCTACAAAACTAAGCGTCTCAAGACATGTGTAACATTCTCAACATCTTTTTCTCTGACGAGGAATAACACTATGGAGAGCTTTCGCGAGAATTTAATTTATACCTGTATATACACACACTAGGAGCCCCCATTCGCATACTCACAATACTATCATAACATCCAATAACATAAAATATCGATTTCAAATAGCTCTTCTAAATGCACGTTTTCCATTCACATTACAGCAGAGGCTGTTGTTGGTAGATCTGCTAGTCAGCAGAATTAGTATTTCCTCCAACCAGCGCGTGCGTTGATCTATCAGCGCACCGTGTTACTGCTGGCCCTCACCAGCACAGTCAGTCCTGGTTTCAGGTCCCGTCGGTTCCCATGACAATATGTATTTTTTTTCCCCCAATACTTTTATATATTTTCAAAAGGGTCTTCTCTGCAATGAGAGGAGGGGTCTGACTGCTACTGGTCACTCCCCCTCTACTGATGGTAATCGAATGGGCACTCACTAACTGGCCCTTATACACCGCACCACTCTCTCACGCACCTTCAACTTATGACTTAATTGTATATATAGGCCCATATACAATGAAACCTCGATTATCCAAACTAATAAAAATCACTGCTGTGTTCGGATTGATGGATTGAAAGTAAAAAGTTATGATCTCTTAGCAAAAATATTTATTCAAAAGATTTATAGGCACATTTTATATGGAAGCAAGGACTGGAACCCGCGGACATTCCACACACTCAGAGCTAGAAAGGCGGGGCCATTAACAGGTAATATAATGTTTCACAAGAATTCTTGTTTACTGCAAGGAAGTAAATAGAATAAGTGACATTTGAGGTTTTCACGGCGATGACTATGAAGAATTCCGTCTTGAGGAGTGTGGCGCCGTGTATATCTTGTGTGAACCGACGTTTCGGAGGAGCATGTCACCTCCATCTTCAGGGTAGAAAAATCCGCGAGCGAGGAACCAACTTGGCAGGTGGCTCCAGACTGCAGTCTGCATGAACCTGTGTCTTTTATTGATCGATGTCTGATCTTCATTGCAGCAACTGCTGGGACGGACACCGTTCTCCAAGTTTTTGTACGTAACTGTTTGATTTTTTAAAAACGTGGTAATCTAAAAGATTGAAATGCCGATAATATGGCGACCATTCTGTGGATTTGACAAATTCAGCTACTGTATGCGACACTTCCAAAGAGCGGGTAATATGAATACAAAAATACTTATTTATAACATTCATATTGGGAAGTGCTTTCCTGTGTTACAGATCTGCTGAGCTGAATATTTTCTTTTATACACACTTCGGTACGTTCTACAGAACGTGTATGATTTTTGTTCCAGTTTATAGAGCTGTTCATTTTTTACTTTTGTGGGGAGGTAGTCCGCCACCCGATAGGCCACTGTGTAGAAGGAGAAGTAAGTTGTCCGTTTCATAGACCTACAAACGTCTGTTAATAGTAAGCGTACATTATATTGTTTAAAAACATTAGCACTTGTACCCATGATCTGGCGGTTAACTTACTCGTACTAGCCAAATATTCAAACGGTCCATTTTATGATTAAGCCCTCATCGATAATCGTAAAAGAAAAGGAATAGAGTGTGTGTGATAGTCGTAGAAGCACCTCCTGAAACGTCGTGTGTATGAAATATACCTGAGGCCATTTGTATAATTCTAATGAATCATCTAATCTTTAAAGATTAATTATATATCGGGAAATATTACCAAATAAAATAAATTCCAAAATTAATTTACCGTAAGTCCATGGAGTACAGCCCTTATCGTGAAGCTAATGGTCTCTCAGCTGGTCAAGAAATTCCTCACCTCTTATGGAACCTAGAAATACATTGCCTTGTTCATAAGAGCCTGCCACTAGTCTCTGTTCTGAATCACATAAATCCAGTAAACTTTCAATTCAAACCATATTTCTTTACTGTCCGTTTTAACATGGTCCTTCATTCTACGCCTAGGTCTAGACGGATGTATCTTCTCTTCGTATTTTTCAGATAAAATCGCATATATCTCTCCTATGCGTGCTACATGTCCCACACATCTCATCTCCATTTTGTATCCCTAATAATATTTCGAGAAGAATGCAAATTATGAGCTCCTCATTTGGCAGTTGGCCCCATCCTCCTGTCATTCCCTCCCTCATAAGTCAGAATGTTTCCTGTTCTCAAGCCACTGACTGGCTGCATTGTAGCGTAGAACATATCCATAAGTTGCATTATATGAGTACGTTCTACAGAACGTGTATGATTTTTGTTCCAGTTTATAGAGCTGTTCATTTTTTACTTTTGTGGGGAGGTAGTCCGCCACCCGATAGGCCACTGTGTAGAAGGAGGAGTGTGTTGTCCGTTTCATAGACCTACAAACGTCTGTTAATAGTTAGCGTACATTATCTTTTAAGCATGAGCACACAAAAGTTTGGACCAGTGAGGTTCAGGAACATTAATTAAAGTTGAGTATATCATAATAATGCGTAGATTCCAGAATTCATTTCTAACAAAAGACGAAACACCTATTCTGAATATTTGTCATTGTGAGCAGTGTGTATATGCAGGACTTTTGCTAAGAATGTGCTGTGCTGTGCTATATTTTTCTTAAAATTGAGCCAATTTTTTTCACTGATTTCCTGAAACCGATTTTAACCTTGGCAGTGAACATATACCAGAAAGTGAAGTTTTGAAGGTGGTACATAACATGAGGTAGGTTTCTGGGCTTTATCATTAATTCTGGGTTAGCACGGCTTTGCACCAGTTTTTTTTTATGGCTTTCAAGTTTTGCTGATGAATCCAATTTTCATGTTTCACATTATCTAGTTGCGATCAATATAAAGAGGACTGTTATCTCATGTACTTGTGATACATGTTACAGAATTGTAGCTAAATCAATGGTACTATTGGCAGCCTTAACGCTGTGTTGCTGAAGTGCATCAACATACAGTAATGTAGGTAATATGAAATATGATATTTCTTTTGTGCCATCAGTTTCTTTGCATATTCGCGATATACATTTTACTTAATTTAATAAAAATAAGGGAATACATTAACATAGCACAGACCTAACATTTTATATTTTTTTTATTTATATTTTTTTCGCAGGAAGTCACTTAGCATTGTGGATTCACATGGTCTGTCATGATGCAGCTAGCGAGAAAACAGGAAGATGGGAAAGAAATTTCAACCAGAGAGAGTAATGAGGATGAAGACGAAAATGAGAAGTTGGGGGCTTCCATTCACAAGTGATGAAACTGGAAAGATATTCCTCCATGGAAGTTAATGCCAAGATATGTGTGCAAGATAGAAATACTTTCTTAGTAGATAGTGGGATGTGAAGACATAAAGTCAAACTGTCTGACTTATTTCTCATATAAATTCCCTGATCAAAATAAAAATATGCTTGAGACATCACCAGTTAGCAAGAGGGTTTGAGTGTAATGAATGTTGCTTTCTTGTCTCACTGCATATTTGTCTGTGCCTGGACAGATGTGTAGCAAAGAATGAAAGAGATGTCATTGTATTAATGTTTATATCACTGCCAGATGGAGAGAGTTGTGTACCGCCCATTTCACATTCCAAAACAATTCAAACAATGCATTACTTTTAACATCTTGATAAATGCAGTGTTTGGTGGTGTGTTATAATGGTATAGTTCCAAAAGTTCGCAATGTTATTTTTCTAGTCTATTTCGTGTTCTGTACTTTAAAAGCACCTTGGAGGCTTTTCTAATCAGTGTTAAATATCTTTTTACTTTGTAACCATGTGTATTTTCTAAAAAGGCCACACAAATGGAGTAACAGTGAACTTTTATGCCACTGATTTTGAAGAAGGATGTATGTTGATTGTGTAACTGATATGGCAATGTAACTTGAAATATAAGATAAAATCTTCAGTAAAGTACATTTGAAACATGTTTCTTGTTTATTACAATGAATTTTCAGGATGAAGAAACTTCTTGAAAAAAAACTATACAAACAAAGTTCTAAGCCACAGTTTTAAAGCAGGTGTATAATGATGTTATGAATATTAAATATTTGTATAAATTTACTAGCTGTAAGTATTCATAAATGTCTGGAAGCTGAAACTGCTGTTGGAGTACAGTGCAATGGGGGGGGCCACGCAGTTTAGTAGTTGGTTGAGGCACTGTGCTACAAGCCGGAAGGTCACGAGTTCCATTCCCGATGAGATCATTGGATTTTTCATTTGATCTAATCCTTCCAGCCTCACTATGGCCCTGGGGTGGACTCAGCCTCTAACAGAAATGAATACCAGGATTATTCCTGGGGGTAAAGAGCAGCAGGCACATAAGGCTGACGACTTCACCGCCATGTATGAGCCCAATTGTCTATAAAACATGTAAGCCTCGACGTCTCACAACCCTATGGGCCTTCATGGCCTGTTACAGGGACAGCTTTACCCCTCTTTTTTACTTACCTCTAGAGTACAGTGCAATAATTTCTTTAATGATTTATAGAATTTTTGGTAAACATACTAACCAATTATACCAGAAACGCCATTGAGTGATATACCATTTTCTTGCCCAAGGCTCTCATATAAGTTTAACCTGGTATTTTGTATGATCATGGACTCATACAAATTCCACGTGTTATTTATTGGCTTCTATTTGAAATCAATTGAGAATTACATGGAATATAAAGCAAGCATTTTTATGAGGTTTATTTGACAAGCCATTTTTTTAAGGGAGATGAACAATAAGACATTCCCTCAAGCAGTTAACGATACTCAAGTGGGCCGCATGAAGCCAACTTGTGGGCCGCGAGCTGGACAGCCCTACTAACGAAAGAATTCTCCTTACACTATAGCATAGGCTCTATTAGATCACAATAGGAAGACCTGTAGAATACAACTTGAACTAAAAGAAAAAAAAACATGCATTTCCTATTTGTAGCTTGTTTATTTAGTGACATTATCAGTGATTGTGTATAGCTTCGAAGCAGTGCCGTTAATATCCCGTGTAACACACGTCCTGTTGGGGTAATGCCACTCTGTGTGTGAAATAGTTCGTAAGCCGTGTCAGACCTCTGAACGTTAGTCGCCGACTTAATCCCACCGAGGACTGTGTTTGATCCCCGTGTAGTCCAAGCGGCCGTGTTAGGCGGGTCCCTTGTCACCACGGCATGACGCATCCTCAGGTTGCGGATGAAAGAGACGCCCTCGAAGTATGGAGGGAAGCTGCGAATATAACGAATAAATAGTAGTGGACAGCCGACAAGGGGTGGTCCTCCGGCTTGGGGGCTGGACGTGGGGCTAACAACACCTCGCCGTAAAAAATAAGCTTGTTACGAAAATGTTCAGGAAGCCTTGGGCCTGGACGGCTCCTGTGGATATTTGAAACTGCATAATGAAGAGCTTCATAACTTGTGTTCTTCCCCAAGTATAATTAGAATAATCGAGTCAAGGAGGATGAGATGGGAGGGGCATGTAACACGAGTGAGGGAGAAGAGGAATGCATATAGGATATTGGCGGGAAATCCAGAAGGGAAGAGACCGCTAGGAAGACCAAGGCGTAGGTGGATGGACAATATTAAAATGGATCTTATAGAGATAGGATGGGATGGTATGGGTTGGATAGATCTCGCTCAGGATAGGGACTAGTGGAGGGCTCTTGTGAACACGGTAATGAACTTTCGGGCTCAATAAAATGCCTGGAAAGACTTAAGTAGCTGTACAAGTGGCAGCTTCTCAAGAAGGGCTCAGCTCCATGAGTGAGTAGTCTAAGCGGGATTTGTAGTGGGAATCACTGAGACGGATTTCTCCTGAGCATTTAGGCTTTTCCCTCCAATTTATAGGCCCACATCTGCTGCTGGTGCAGCAGGCCTTCTTGAACCCGCAAGGCCGCAGCATAAATAAGTTCAGGTGCGGTTTATATCCAGATATGTCTGTACTAGCTTCATAAGCGTCACCCAGCGTCTCGATGGTCTCAATATCGATTTAATGTTGAAGTACAGTAGAAGCTGGGACAGGATGCACGATCCACTTCACCGAGTTCCGAGTTTGGCGGGTTTGGGGCCGCTACTATGCCCTGCACTCCAAGGTCGTCGTTCTCCTTACCTTGTGCCGTAGTCAAGGCCACTAACAATTTTTATCGTCTATCAGATTTTGGGTATTCCTCACGTTCTTCTTTTCTTCGATGTCGGATGACTGGTAATCGTCTTGCTCTATAGCAAAATGCCGTGCCGTTACTCGCTTTCCCATTATCTTGACTGACCGCGTGTGACGTCATATGCCTGAGGCTAGACAAGCGCCCTACGGAGACTGTATTCGAGAACCATCTGGCTCTGAGTCGGCGATTGGCATTGTTGGCTCGACTCTTTTTAATTATTAAGCTGTGCCGCTTCCAAATTAGGCGCAGATAGTGTAGACGGGCTCAGAACAGCGGTGAATGGCTAGGAAACTAGGATAGACTTCTGTCAAGAGCTGGATAGCGCGTTCTGTTTGAGAGCTACACAACCATTCAACAACGCATACCAAAATTTATTCATCCCAACGCGGAAGGAGTCCCCTTGTTCGTCTAGACCCCAGGCCCCCGAATGTAAGCCAAGCGAAACCCCAGCCTTTACGTCCGGCGGTCGTCGGAACAGATCCAACTCTTCAGAACAAGATATTGAATGGCAGTTGGAGACCAGAAAGAAGGCTGACAGATGTCCCAGCAAGAGACTGTGCTACAGCCGCATTCATCCTCTCTTGCCAGTCCTTGCAAGGACTCACACTCGTTTTTAGGATGATCAGTAGAGTCTAGGGGTGGTGACGCTGCACCGCTGTCACGTCAGAGCAACAAGAAGGCACTCAACTTTTCACTTGCAATCCAAAGACCTCTCTTCAGATGCTTCCTGTAAGGATGGCTATCATTCTAGTTCTTCAGGAGTTGTGCTTCGATGCCATGATCATGAAGTGTATGCAAACTAAACGCTCCTCACCCAAGGATCCCACAGTCACAACTCGTTGACCCTGTTGTTAGTGACCGTGACACACCGTCTTCTTGATATTGCTACGTACTTCAGTAGTCTAGTTTGAACGTAGATGACACAATGTAGCTAAAGCTGCCAGAATTGTGAACATACTTGGGTCCAACAAACAATTTCCAAGATTNCGTGACACACCGTCTTCTTGATATTGCTACGTACTTCAGTAGTCTAAAGTTTGAACCTAGATGACACAATGTGGCTAAAGCTGCCAGAGTTGTGAACATACTTGGGTCCAAGATATCTCTAGTCTGGAGATGTCCATTGCCACCGAGAATGCCTGGAGGACAATGATACCACAGTACCAAAGGGCTACAGCTATGAGGTCCAACATCCGAGAAACTGTAGAGGCTGTAGTTGTGCTAAGGAACGGCGTATGGCCTATTACTGGCCTTTAAGTGTCTTATAAGTAGGCAAAATTATCGCTGGACCTAATTAATTAAACATTACACCATGAAGGCGTGTGGTCGAGTGGAAATATAGCTCCTCTCTTTCTTGATCTCAGCATTAGATGGAGATGAGTTATCAGCTTCACGCTTCTGCCGCTTTGCCCCCAGGGAAGGATTCGACCCATTGTATAGGAGGCTGGGTGACCCCTAGTTGTGGTTTCGACATTATGGAGAAGAGAAGAATGTCTTGCCTCTGCCAGGAATCGAATCCCAACTCCTCGGCCTTCGAGCCCGTAGCCTATTTGCTATGCCGACTGAGTTATACCTGCTTCTGGAGATTAGTTTCCAAAATTGTGACGTCATATAACTCTTACGCTGCAGTTTCATTATACCCCATTCCCCGGGCTACTGCTAACAACGACCGGCAGCGCAGCAGCGAATCAGCTCTCGACACAGCACTGACCACAAGACAGTAGACGAGTCTGAAGAATCCGAATATGACCGATTTTCTGTACACGTCATGAGGAAACAAGGGCGTGGAATAGTTCCGCGTATACTGACCGTCAGGACACGCGTCACTACACTACAGGGAGGACTTCTCTCCTCAGAGGGAGGATGTCGGAATGGAGAAAGCGCGGGTATCTGTACGTCTGAATATTGTCGAGAGGTCACACAGGTCTCTCAGACGAGAGAGCATGGGTCGCTGAGAGAACAGACTGCAGTGCAGTCAGCCAACTGCAACCATTGGAGACCCCTTCAGTGAACGTTTAAGGAACTTGAGAATGTACTGCTTCTTGGAGCACAAGGATAATATATTTTGTGAAGAACTTCTTCCCCATATCAGATGCCTTACAGTTACGGTCTGTACTTCCGCACGCAGTCCGAATTTACTTTAATTCTGCTTCCTAAGAATTTCGGTTCCGTTTTCTCGTCGTTCTATAGCATTCCTTTCTTTTCCTTACAACTCTTTGCCTCAGTCTGACAAGGGCCAGCCACTTATAACTGTACCTCCGAACTGATACTTGGAACACCTCTTATATTTTGGTTTGTTCGTGCCCGTTGTTTAAAGCAACATGCATTGCATTATTTATTGCACGGGTTAAGACTGTGGTCCTTGTTGTTACAGCTCTTTCCATTATGCCAGTGCGCAACTACCGATTGAGAGATCCCAGTTCTCTGGCTGTACCATGTATTGCTATAAGCCAGTGATTTACTCGATTTCGGCTATAATGCAGCTCTCTCGGTCGTTGAAAATTGAACTGGATATGGAAAAAGGCAGTGTATGTACCATAAATCTGACAGACGAGAAATACATAAGTTACCAGTTTTGTAGCACGCATGGAGGAGAAGAGGATTCTATGTATCGTTTTGATGGGAAAGCCAGAAGGAAAGAGGCATGTTGGAAGACCTAGACGTAGGTTTGAAGTACCTAAATTAGAGAAAGAGGATGAGGAGTTATGGACTGGATTAATCAGGCTCAGGATAGAGGCCAGTGTTGAGCTTTAGAAAAAATAATAAACTACCTTCGGTTTTAATTAG